ATTGATAGACGGCAAGTATGAGTTACATCAACAAAACAGGAATGCGTAAACTTCCGATGCATCCAGTTGTATAAGAAAAACCTAATATATCCCGTAAGAGAGGATTCTGCATTGTACAAGAAATACATGGATAACACTCGGACAAGACACAAGACAAGACAAGACAAGACAAGAATATGTGGTCGAAATGTAAAGAAACAAAGCGAATGAGGGAACGATGAATTTACACAATTAAGCGGGAAAATGTGTCTGGGTAGCAAACATAATCACACCGATGAAGGCCCAAGGTTGGAATCACAAGATTATAACGCAATAGACCTTCAATGAAGGGCCGTTGACAATTCAAACTTACAAATTCCAATACTTCAAGAATTTCACAATTTGAAACTCGCCCAAGTGTAAGAGGGCTACAATATGACGAAGGAAGTTATGATCGAAATATTACAGTTTCTGAAGATCTTCCTTGGATACTACAATCACCCGTGAACCGTCTTTCCGCCGTACTTCGATCCGGCCGTCTTGGGTCCATGCCTTGTCGGTTGACGAATGACGCTTAGCTGTGGCGAGCAGGCGCTGACAATTATATAACCATGTTTGAAAGAAAAAAAAACTCTCAGCTTTAATCTGATATACAAAACATAAAAATGCACCTATCACGTTTTGAAAAGAGGCAAATGTTTCAGGGTTGCATTTTTGCATTTTGTACAGGGTGAGTAAAAAAACCAACGAAACCCAAATGTCGGGACTAATTGTTTTAGTAAAATTCTATATGTAGCACTTTCAAAATCTAGGATATGAAAGCCCAATTCATAAGCTTTCTTTTAGTACCAGAATCATTCAAATCACTCATGTAGTGTTCAAGTTACCGAATTTTCAACACAACCACCGTTTTAAAGTTCTGTCCACGGATCACAAAAAGGTGTGCGTTCTTTCAGCAAAACAAAAACAATTCACACAAGTCCCTATGTGATTTGTTTCCGTTTTGCTGAAAGAACACACAGAATCACGGCGGTGAATCTTTTGGTGTTAAAGTAACACAAGTTTATTTCAAATGTGTATATGCATAAACCTGTCAGAGGTAAAGTATGACCACCATGGCTCACTATAGTCTACCAACTACGCCTAACAAGGAAATAAGAGCGTCTATTGTATTGTGTTCTGGCAAAGGAAAGTGATGATGGACTTGGTGGAATATAACATATTCAGGAAATTACGGGAACCGAGTACCCGATGGAAAAAAAGCCCGGGTACCTAGAAACCCAACCCCAGAAAATAAACATCTCAAAAGTTGCTCTTCGGATTGTTCATAAGGGTCCCGGGGGCCGGGGTGGAATCCGCCCACACCCTCAACTTTTTCCGCGATAGCCTTGAAATGTTTTTTTTTCGCGACCCGAGCTGTTATGACTTTTTAGCCTCGAGCCTTGCGCATCTTTTGATACCAAAAAACATAAAAAAAATTCCGCCACAACGCGCCGTGTGAAATCTGAATTTTCCCATATACGTCGTGTACACAGAGCAGAATTATATGAATAATTAATTAGCCATAATTCCAAAACCCTTTGACCTATAGTCATGAAATTTCTTGGGTATGTTCATGATGAGTTGTTCTATGCATGTACCTAGTTTCAAATTTTGTCGTCACTCGATGACTGAGATCTTGGGGGGGGGGGGGGGGGAATCCGCCCCCCCCCCGAGAGATGGTCAAAATAACACGGCCCTTTTAGGGTTAATACTACAACATAGGTGCGTAACAGTCAGAATAAGGTGTAAACTGCAACTTTCGCGAGCTTCATAAATTTTGAAAATTCCCCATATATGAAATTCAAAACGTTTCTCTTTCATTGTCTGAGAAAATATTGGTAAAGATGGTAGGGGTACCCGATCCCCTATGATAGTCTGGAACCGGTGCTTGACATCAACAGTCGGGTACTCTGGTACCCAGTTCAGATGCACAGTGCGAGAAGGCCGAAACACTTGCAAATCAATAATACTAAAACAAGTGTGTTCAACAGGGACAATCTTCCCTTTTTCGGCCTGTTACGTTGGGTGACGGTTTTCAATTATAAATGTATGCCTAGTGTGAGTCAAAAAGAACATTAATTACGAGCAGAATGGGCGTTGGTACATCGCGCCAGCGATTTTATCCTGAACTTCACGGCGGACTCGGGGGCCGGGAGGGTGACGAGGCAACGGGGGATCATGCCCCCCCCCCCCAAAAAACCCCACCCAACTTACCAATGTATTTATTGATTCTTTGTTTTGTGACGCCGCAAAAATGGCAGCCACTTTGTGAAGGAACGCGCACGCGCCCAACTAGTCGAGGCTGGCACAAACCTATAGCAACCTCGACATTTTGTATTCGCTCGTACCCCCGCCCTGCAAACAGGACGCTGGTCAGGGCTGACGTCATTTGAGCTCTCATTGGATAGATTTGCGTGACCTGTGACGTAGAACGCGTCACACAAACCAGCTTCCGGTGCCCATCATGCGTAGCGCGCGATAGCTGCATGCGAAGGTCAATCTGTATCCTTCACAAGATTCTGTGAAGCTCATCAGCCCTTACCAGCGCCCTGTTTGCAGGGCGGGGCCGGGTATGAGCGAACATTTTGTACGGCTTTAAGGACTTTTGTACGCGGCTTTTTGTGTTTGTATTCTATACAGGTGCGTTATCGAAGCCAAAACGCCCAAAAACAAAACGCACATAATTAAACTAAAATGAACATTTCATTTTGCTCTGCGGAAACAAACGCCGTGCGCGTATCTGCTGCAGTGATTTTTTTTAACGGCGTATGTTGTACTAACGCGTTGCATTTAGTGTACATTATCATTGGCGGATCCAGCGGGGGCGCAGGGGGCGCACGCCCCCCCCCCCCGGCAAATATTTTAAAATGTATACTATCGGTGAAAAACGGACGGTGATCCGACGGGCCACGCGTTTTGAGTTTGAGGAAAAACAATCGTTCAAAAGGCGTGGCAATTTTCCCGCACCTCCTAAGACTGCGCGGGTTATGATGGCCGCAGGATACGCGGATTAAACCATGGAGTCTCATTTCGCGTATTTTTTAGCGCGTCATCATACGTCCATGAGACTGCACGCGGACAACTGCTGCGTACAATTCGTATGAAGGTCAAACCGTTTTCACGCTCCGGGCTTGGTGACTAAACAAAATCAAACAGTGGCCACTTCAGATTCAACCTCGTGCCCCGTGGGTACGATCTTGCAGTGCCATGTTGTTTCCCATCATGCCTTGCGCGATCATAACCCCTGGAATTGTGTAATTTAAATATCCGGTTCGTTAGTGTGACGTCACCTCCAGCACTTTCTGCACGATTGGAACCGGAAGTTAACGCTGCTCGAGCGTTTGCAGCCAATGGGCGCTAGTAATCAGTGGTGTGCGCGCGTGTATGACGTTTTTACTAACGAACCGGATACCGAAATACGGTATATTATAATTAGGGCTGCAGTTTATCCGTTTTACGTGCCGACGCCATCTTTAAAATGTTAAAGTTGTGATTTTGAAGAATCAATCCTTTCAAACACAACGTTTGGACGTTGTGTTCATTAGCAAAGATTTGTATTAAATGTACGTACCCCTTTCGTGCCTTTACAACCGCAGATACAAGGTTTTTTTAGCGAAAAACGCGGCTGACATAATCCATATCGTACAGGCATCGCGACTTTTGAATCATAATTTTGTTTTCGTACGTGACGTTACGCGCGCCCGGCGTGCAATCTTCGAAATGCCCGCGCAGTACGCTGTGAATAGCCATTCAGCGTCATTTACGTCATCATCACAGCCAGGGGTTAGTGTAAGGAACGAGCACGCGCCCCTGGAGTCGAGGCTGCTTCAGATTCTATTAAAATATTTTTCGGATACGTTTCATGCCAGTTTGTCACACTCCCCAAATATGATCCGCTGCAACCTCGTACCCAGGGTGTCGAGCAGTATGCGCCCACCACTACCTTACTATTGGAAACGCGGTTGGAAATAAAGTAAGCACTGGGGACGAGGTTGGATCCGCTGTAATGAAATATTTAAATTCATGTCAGATGTGACCGAGCGCGGATTATGACAAATTATGTGCATGTTCTCAACTTTAGGCTTTGAATACAGAAGAAACTTCATAAGAGCAAGAGTATATAGGCCTATATGTATTTGAAACAAATGAAACAAAATATCCCCTCATAATTTTAAAAACTTCTGCTAAAAAAATCAAGGGAAAGTGGCCAGGAAACGCCTCAGATTGCACCACAGAGCATCTATACGATCCAAAATTCCCCGGGGCCCTTAAGCGGGCCCCGGACCCCACGCCGTTAAGGGCTACGCGCTCCGCGCTCGCATTAGTCCTCCGGCCAAATTTCCTCTATGCTATAATCTCACCCTAGCGGTGCCCCCACCTTTTTTGTACCTTCAGCAGCGAATGGCTGAGACTCGGACTACAAGTGGCCTAAATCCCTTTCCAAAATAAAAAGTTGTGAAAAAATACGGAGATGGAACATGGTTCTCAACTTTGAGTACATAACAAACTTTATAAAGAACAAAAAAATAACAAATTTAAATGGAATTTTCGATGTTTAAAACGTTTTCTAAACTGGGAAGTGGCCAGGAATCGCCTCAGATTGCACCACAGAGCATCTAAAATCCATTTTTTCCCCGGGACCCTTAAGCGGGCCCCGAACCCCACGCCGTAAAGGCTTCGCGCTCCGCGCTCGCAGGTCCTGGACCCTCCATTACAATTCTAGCCCCCCGGCAAATGGCAGTCTGGATCCGCCCCTGACGACTATGTTCTACAAACGCGCACATGAATTCAAGATGTCTGCGCGCAGGAAGAATTCAACGTATTGATCCTCCGCGCGTAATGATGAATAGTAAGCGCTCATTGAATAACCTAATATAAATAACACTGGTTTTCTAAAGGACACCGTAGAAGAGCCAATGCTTGAATCATTGGTTCCGCTACTGCACGTAATACATCTGAACGATAACTGCAGGCTACCAGTTGTAGTGGTATAATAGTCTGGTGCCTAACAACGCGCACGTACGGTCGTATTACGTAAAATGCATAAGACGGCGTAATCCAGACTTTGTGGAGTTCGCGATCGCAGGCTAAAAAACGGACGGAACACCTAAGTTTTGAGGTATGAAAAATGGATTTATCAACGATTCAGAAGCTAAAGGCTGCATTGAATCCTTTACTTTTCAACGCTTAAGAGTTTTAGTACTTAAATACCTTTTGTATTAATACAAGTCAAACGCTTTACAGTCACTTCGCCCCGTTTCCATGGCCCAACCACTTCTCCCAATTGCCACTTCGCTCCATCCCCATCCCCACATCGCCCCGGCCCCGCATCGCCCCGGCCCCGCCGCCACTTACTTCGCCCCATCCATGCCATCCCCACATCATCACCCCGCCGCCACTTCGCCTAGCTTTTTTCTATATGCAAATAAATTATGGAATGTTTAGAAAGGAATAAAGGACACTAAAACAGCATTATGACGTCATCATCTGAAAGGGCGCCCTCTAGCGGTAGGATGGAGCGCCGTATTATCACAGTACTTAGCCCCATAAATGTGGCCAATTTACTGGACTACCTCCGTAAATAAAGGCCACACTTCCACCATGTACAAAAACATGTCGAACTTTGTCAAATTTTGATTTTCACATTTACCGGTAGGCTTAGTTTGTAGTTTAATTTTGCTTTAGAAGCATACTCACCCTCTTTATACTTTTTATAGGCTAATCAGAAGGTGCTGCCTTTTAAGTTTTAGTTTTACAGATGTCTATTTTTCGTGAAATTTCCAGATTCGTTTGCACACGCTTGCGTATCAACATTTCAACTTGAAATTTCACGAAAACTAGACATCTGAAAAAGGCAGCACTTTCTGATTAGCCAACGGAGGTAGTCCAGTAAATTGGCTACTCCTAGATCTATGATGCTCCGCGTGAGCAACAAAAATCACTGAGACAAGCCTACTGATTAGCGATTGGGCCATTTGGGGGCGCCATTCACCTTATACTGTGTGCCGTTTTATTTTTTAACGCGCTGTCCTTATTTGATCCCGCAAAAGTTTTTGCTATTTTGCGGTGGAAATATCGTCCTTTGACTTAATTTTGTGTTTCCAGCTGTAGAAGGGGGACCAGACAAATGAAACTGTCTGGGACAGAGCATCATTAAAGATTTATGTTTATAGGCGGTACCTTTTGGCAGACATGGTGAGGGAAAATTTGCAAGTTTTGGAAAACGTTAATATTTATTAAAAATCGTTAAAAGTCCCGAAAGATGCACCATTGTTTATCGTCCTTTTTGTACAACTCGGCAGCAAGTCCTTAATGCCCGGTGAACTGGATAAAAATCACCACTGAAGGAGTTTTGGCAATGCAAAAAGCAACATTTCCGATGCCGCGATAATTGGGATGCCGCGATAATAGGGAGTCCGACTATATATCAAATAGTGTTTCCTTTTTTTTTAAATTTAAAAATCATTCAGCCAAATTTAACCAAATCACCAAAACTACATGTACATATAACTTTACAAGGTTTCGAAATCATGACATCATGGAAAAAAAATAATTTTAATTTAATTTTATCATTTGATCCCTGTCTTTTGACTTTGAATTTGTTCGTAGCCCAAATAATGATATCCAGTACAATGTTGACCTTCCTTTAATGTTTTGACATCATCAAATCGGAAGTGAGGTGTTTACATACATTTATATTTTCCATATTTTCATACGTCATTTTAACTTCATAATGAACAAGTATCCTCTCGGAACTAAATCAGTATTCACTTTCCCTTTTATGACTGATGACGTCATCAAACCAGAAATAACTTGTACTTGTACATAAAATGTGTACTGAAATTTTATGCTTTTTTGTTTTAATCAAGATAATTGGTTAGTTGTACTGGAAAGGTTAAATTTTTGTGATCCTGTTATGACATAAATTATTCATAACTTAACTGGGCAGTGTGTAATGAAATACACTCAACCGAAAAAGAAAGTCCCCCTTTAATAATACTTTTTTGTCTAACTCAAAAACTACTGGGCACATCTTGCTCAAATTACGACTGATCAGTACAGAAATTCCTTAGCAATCCAGCCATACTCTTTGTTTGGCCCAAAACAGTGAAAATGTGTACAAGATTGTGCAATTTATTGGTTGAGTGTAGTTGTCTGCCTGAACCACTCTGTGTTTGTAACTCAACAAATGCCAACCTCTAGTTAAAAATTGAAAATCGTAAATGTTCTCACTCGGCCTCAAATTTGTGTATTATTTTTCAAACTACATATATTTGTAATGACTTTCCATCATTGAGGTAAGTATCTATGGTACAAACAGTGTCATTGGGGTACTGCATTCTACCCTTGGCAAATGTCATTCCTTTACAGAGGAAAAGGTCATCTGTCCACGGATCAAATAAAAAGTAAACAAAACAAGTAGTTATTTGCCAGACAAAACACTGAATTGTACTGATTTTCAGTTTTCTTTGTTCACTCTTAAGTAGTTTTGAAAGATGTTTTATTTATATTGTGATTTTTCCTTTTTCTCCCAGCATCATGGGAGGAGGATATGTCGATGAAACGCCGTTTGCCCACTACACTGGCTTCAAGAAGTATTTCAATTCAGACACAGTCTTCGGAAAAAGAAATGTAAGTGCAATCTTGTAAGCCTAAGTTCCAAAATGTTTTTTTTCCAGAAATCTTCTATGCACAAGTGTTCCCTCAACGTTAAGAAAGGGAGAGTTGGGGGAGACCACTTGGTGAGGCATTTGAACGCATTGCCGACATCGCCTGACACTCACGCAAAGACGCAATGGCTTTTTGCGCATTCAGAATAAAATAAGTTATTTGTACTTCGTGCCATACGCTGTGGAACCTGTACGGCCATTCAGGTGTGTCCTGTTCACGGGGCTCTCAAATGTGGTAAAAAATGCCCTCTCTTGTGTGCATACCGATACGGAGCCCATAGTGCCACTAAAATTAGGTTCTGTTGTGTCTTTATCACTTGTATTACAAGAAGATCATTTTTGTTTCATAAAAAGAGCGTGTCATTTTGCTCTACGCAAACAGCGCAACGCGTGTGCGTATTCGCTGCAGATGCTTCTTGTCGTCACGTTTTTTTGAACTGTCAGTGATGGGGTGTCACTGGTTTGATGTTTGGACTCATGTCCATGACTTTGAGCACATGTACTCTCATTTTCTTGTTATATGCTTTGGCTCTTTAACAGTGTGTTGTTGCTGTGTATGGCCTGACGTTCCTCTCCATCTGGTACGTCCGTCGTAGGATGAAGGCCAAGAAAGCACTAACAGCTGCCATCCCTGAGGCCGCGGTGCCTGCTTCATAGTCTCTCCCTCTAGCTCCAATCTTCTAGTCTCCATAGCTGTCAACTTCAGCTCCCCATCTTGCTTGAGCCAATCATCACACATCACTCAGCTCTACCACCACTGGACACTCTTCAACCACAGGAGTCACAGTTTGGACAGTTGACAACATAACCTTTCACTATAATGCAGGGCCTTCAAGATTGCCATTTCGCTGCTCTCCATTTACCAAAAACTTGGAAGAAGCAGGACAGGACAAGTGTGTTGTGCCTGTTACTATTCTCAGCAAAACCAAACATGTTTTTTTGTTTTAATTTAAAATGGACTCATAGCTAAAATGTGCCTTTTCATTAGTGGGATGTTTGGTCCATGTTTTCTCTCTTGCAAACACAAATCTTGCATTTTCAGAAATATTTCAGCACACGCGTATGCATTGTTAAAGTATGGTATCTACTGCTGTTACAGCCGTTGACATGTACCCAAACCATACGGATGTCTTGCGCCTGCTTGAACATACAACTTTTCTTTCTGCCAAAATGCAAAAAATTTCTCATACAAAAACCGTGCAGTATGTTCTCTACATATATGGGAAAGAGACACAACATGGACCAAGCACTTCTGGAAAGGCACAATCAAATTCTCATAGAATTGGATATGTATGATATGCCCAGTTGAGACTTATTAAACTGAGCCATTTGATATTTTTCAGATAATCACACATGTAACATCTAGTGTTTTAAACTTCAAAAATATACGTAATATGCTGTGTCCTGTCATATAAATCAATTACATATTCACAACATTCATCAGTTCATATTGTGACTCTTAAACCCTGAACGTACAAAATGATTGCATGAATTTCCGTTTGAGAGAAGATTGAATGTGCTAACTTATAAACAAAGAAGCCACAGAAAGTAACTTGACTACTAAATTAATAAAAATTTAACAATAAATATAGTATTGTGTACTGTTGGCTGTTTTGAATAATAAATTTGAGAGAGATCTGTTGGACACAGCCGTCAGTTTAAAATAAATGAAAAATATTTTGACTCAATTTCCTAGTCTGTGAATAACACACCAAATATGGCTTATACCTCACAATGTTAGGTTTGCAATTTTCAGTGGTATAAATTTTGGTTTTGAATTCTGGGTGTTTGAAGTTTTTAATGTAGGATAATACTCAAAAAGTGTGTTCTTAATGAGTTAAAAAAAGATAAAAATAAAACAATATTTTGTTGTTTGACACAACTTAGATTTGAGTTATTTATTGTGAGTCTATCCATTTTGTCACTTGGTATCTGAGTCCGCTATAGTTCAGAAGAAAAACATTTGGGAAAATGAATTATACACAGAACCAATTCACTATTGATACCTCGACGGTCGGGGCTTACCATTCATATTTCTGTGATTTATATTCTTGCATCTAACACCCAAAGCAGCAAACTTGTTTGATTATGTTTGGTTCAGTGGGCCAACATCAGAGAACAGTAGTATAGTGTCGTCCAATGGCTGTGGTGTCTGACTTGTGTGATGGTACGGTGGTTTGAATTTAGACGGGGATCAGGGTGTTTGTGTTCTTAGGTAATAATAATAATAGCATTTATATAGCGCCATATATCCAAATCAATTTTGCTCATAGGCGCAGTACAATCGAGTTAAAAACAAATTAAAATTAAACATTAAAAATTTAACAGAATTACAAAAACAGCTAATAAGGTTAAACTTTAATAACAAGAGTTAAAAACATTCAGGGATCTCACAAAAATTACACAGATTTACAGGAACAGTGACTAAAAAGGAGACAGACCGACCACCACAACATCAAACCAGCCAAACGACTGTCCCAGTCCGATGACCAACAAACGAGAAAACCAACCAACTGACTGACGGACCAGCAGTCAATATGGTAAGACACTTTACAATTGTCTCTCCGTCCAAGGAGTATGCCAGAACAGAGTGCGCTGATCTAAAGTTGCTGGGCTAGGCAGGGGGAAACTGATCTCATGGTCTTAAAAAGGCACTCTGACTTAAGACGGTGGTATAAAACCTTTATAAACACCATGCATTTTAAAAGTATTACATGGAGTTACACGCTATCGAAATAATGACTGGGATTTCGGGAACCTCAAACTCCTGACGGCCACCGGCCCTTTCCTGCAAAATGTAAAGGACGCCCTCAATAGCTAAAAAGTTTGACACAGCTCCTGATCAGTGCAGAATGAGAGCTGAAGTAGAAAGAAGATTTCGTCCTTTTCCCGAAGAATAACAACAAATTGGCGAAGAGGGTTTCCATTGTACACCAACAATGGTCATGGTATCACCGGAGCGACCAGGGTGTGAATGTTTAGGTTCGTTATGCGCTTTAAGACGAGAGTATTTGTGTCGGTGGGAGTGTTGCTGATTTTCACCACGCTCTCGGCTGTCCACTTGCTCAAACAGTTCGAAGCGCCTGAGGATCTAGAAGATACCAACCTCGGCTTCGACCGCCGAGCGAGATTTGGTCCCAACAATGGCAGAGCCAACACTTGGAACAAACAAGAGACATACTTGCTAATGTCAAAAGGACAAATCAGTGATGAACGTCATCAGAATGATTCGGGTGGCAACGAGTCCCAAATTCTCAAGCCTCCACTGCCTCGACCTCGCCGCACAGAAGACGGGAGTAAATTGAAGAAGAGACAGCCGGCTTGGGAACGAGGGTCTAGTTCTAAGAAGGCATGGGACGACCAAGAAATAGTTGGGTTAGTTTGCATCAATTGTAGTAGGCCCCCTTGCAGAATTTTGGGAAAAAAGTGCGGCAACGTACCTGATGCCACTTTAGTGGTTGTGTACAAAGTGTATGGAGAGTCAAGAAATGTCCTAACAAAATTGGAAATGTTTCTCAGTCCCAGATTCATGTCTTATCAATTTTGCAATGACTGACCTTCATTAAGATGATATATGAATAAAAAAAAGTGGCGTCAGGTTGCAAATATTTTTTTCCAGAATTTTTTAATATTTTAAATTTTTATTAAACTCTTTCCATAATTTGTTTAAGAGACATTTTTATGAACATCTTTCAAACGCCTAGCCTGAAGTTGTCCGCATTAACCCCAGCAAATGTTCCTGTTTTCAGTCATGTCAGTGAAAATTTGGAACTTGCGCACATTTATTGTCCTCATAAAGCATGCACAGTTCAAATGATGTAATTCATAGGATAATAAGCTTGGGAATAAGGACAACAAACTTGTAAACGCACGTTCCAAATTTGCGCTGAACACCTGACTCCTCTAATTTGAATGTGATTTTTCACCCTGCACACCCTTACTGTTAATTAATTGAAACCAGAACTTTATCAGCTAAGTTCTGAAAATTATATTTTAGAAAAGCTGAAAGTATAAGCCATTTCGGAGTTAAAAAAATGTACTACTGCACGTGCGCACATCAGACTCAACAATTAAGTGTCGGAAGATAAGCAAAGCAGATAAATGCACACAAGTCTAAGGGGGACGTGGTACCCAAATCCAAATTTTGCAATTTTGTTCTAGTAAAACAGAAGATGGATATTTTTGTTCGTACAAAAGTTGGAGCATACAAAACATCTTAAACCATGGTGCTGTTGAAAACAATCATTGAATCAACATTTTGCATCTACTTCAAAAAAAAAGAACTTTTCTTTGATTTTGTTGGTACCCCGCTATGATTTTGTACGCGTGTGGCGAACTGTTTATCCCCCGACCCTAATCGTTGTCATGGGATGTGCGCATGCGCAGTAGTACATTTTTGTAACTCCGAAATGGCTTATTTGAGTAAAAATCATAAATTTAGATACATTTAAACTCATTCAGTAAGATAAGCTAAAATTGCTGCATTTTTTTAAACGTATTTACTCTAATATTTTAGAAGAATCATAACCATCAATCAATTTTATAAAATTGCACAATTCTTAAGTGTTAGCTGTACTGAGTGGAGCGCTGGAACTACGGTGAATTGATCGATCAAATCCTGCAGAATTATAGGCAAAAACCCGAGACAGCTCAAATTATTTTATCTTGAAAATGATCAAAACTGTTGACCTTCCAAACTTATTCCTAATATATATTTAGTCTCAAGTAATTACAATTTAACAGATAAACACTGAAACTTCAGGATTTGGTTCTTAACCCTAACCCCCTAGGCCCTTGTTGCTTACAACCATCCTCAATCCTCCAAAATCCTCCAAAATTTTCCAAAATTTTGCAACTCCGCCTAAATTTTTCAAAATTGTCAGACAGTCTTGCCTCAAAATGCATTCATCCTCAATCCTCCAAAATCCTCCTCATCCCAAAACTTTGCACTCGTGTTTAAATGAAGGATAACCAACGCCAAATCCTTCAAAATCATCAGACAGTCCTGCCTCAAAATGCATTCATCCTCAATCCTCCAAAATCCTCTTGTGCTTCAATCACCATTCATCCTCAATCCTCCAAAATCCTCATGTGCTTCAATCACCATTCATCCTCAATCCTCCAGAATCCTCATTTGATTCAATAACCATTCATCCTCAATCCTCTAGAATCCTCCAAAACCGCCAGGAGGATTTTGGAGGAGTGAGGTGGGTTAGGGTTAAGGTGGGGGGGGGGGGATGTGCCCAATCACTTGATTCTCCCAATCCCTCCTGATAACTGAGTACCCCCTCCAAAAAATCAGGCCCCCAAGCTCCATGCCCCAAGTAAGTGTCCCACCCCTCCTGCCAATTGGAGCCTAGTTATGCCAACAGGCCATCTGTTCTGGAACAATAGAAAAACACATTTTTGAAACATGACCTCGCTTGTATACATCAATCAAACTTCAACGTGACACATACAGTAAAAAGGCTGAGTAAAGACATTTTTGTAAATAACAGAATACCACACACTTGTGGTAGTGCACAAAGCTGTGCATACAAAGTCCCGGCCAGGAAATTTATTTTGTTCAAATGGCATACATATGTACATGTATATTACACCTGTGCATACACCCATGCATACACCTGTCTAGATGCATTATCCCTGGAAATATTGACTTTTACAACAACAAAATTAAAGTATGGCAACGTTCACAGAGAATTGCAAACTGTACAAAGCATACATACAGTACATACTTTCAGTACTTTTGGAAGGGGGACTATTGAGGCAAAAGTTGATGCTATTTTAATGATATAGGATCATTTGCTTTTCACGTATTTTGTTTGTTTCCAATAATAGCACCACTCAAAATCCGAAGAAGACTGTTCAAAACCTAACCTGTTGAAATTTTAGCTCGGTGGATTGTACACTTTTCGAGAAAACAGCGAAAAATCATGCACAACCTGGTGATCACAAAACACGATTTTATCGATAGCACTCTTTAATCTATATATCAGCTAATTGACTGACCGTTGGAAATCGCCTACATTTCTTGATTTCTTCTGAATGACAGCAAGCCATACGGTAATAATTTCACTAGTTGTTTTATTAGTGGGTACAGGGTAGTCAGTATTGGCTATTAGTTGCATTGTAACCAAACATGCTGTGCATTTTCAAATAATTTAGTATTCGAACTTGGATGCAATGAAATTACTCTAATATTCGAAATGCGTCAATTAAGTTTTGCAATATATGCGTCATGTGTGTGGTACATTGTACAGTAATAGCACCAAGGAAGTACAGCATTATCCCTGTGCATGGTGTGTACAAGAAACATGATTCATCCAGTTCTATTTTTAACTTCCAGTGTAGATCTTATCATTGGGCACTGTCAAATAAACACATGCACTTGTAGAACCGGCAGAGACAACTTGAAAGATTGACATGCCTACAGGGCAGAGGTTTTTTTCCCTAGGTTTCAGTTCTGGGTATTTGGGTACAGGAGTGGATCCCGATTTGGATCAAGAGGGGAGTTTAGCAGGCATTTGCTGTGTTTTTTTCTGCAAGATTTTTGTTTTTGGCTGCCCAAGAGGGATTAAGATTTAGAGTAGCCCCCCTAAACCCACCCCCTCCCCCATAGATCCACCACTGGGGTAGTAACTTGAAGAGTAGTGCGTGCTTGGAATTCAAGCAAAAGAGTGACCTTTTGCTTTGTGCATGTTTAAACAAGATACCATTTATTTCAAATGCATTTAATGTGCCATATCAAGTCCTCACATAAGGAATGGCATGCCTACAGATATCCTGAATAAGGAAATGGGAAAGCCTAAAGTACCGTATTCAGACATGCAACTTTTCCTCAGATCATCTGATTTCCTCTTTTTTTATTCCCGTTTCTGTCATTCAAAATAGAAAAAACTGTACAAAGTCTTTTGAATTTTGGAATTTCCTCTTTTTTTGTGAATGTACAGTTGCATGCCTACGTATTTCAGATGTTTTAGAATAGAGTTTTGCTACTTTCGTGCCAAATATAAAAAAATTGAGAAATCATGCTCATCGAAATTTTAGACATACTTGCTGCTCAAAAACTTTGACAAAATATCACCCAAAATTCTCTCTCTCTTTAACATCCAAACAGGAAGGGCCATCCATGGCAGCAGTTTCATCTTGATATCAGTCAGGATGCATTGTACAGTGAGGGCGCCCTCTATATGGATGACCTTCTACGTGACCTGGCCAGCGTCCGAATTGTCAACACCTCTATGTTCCAAGGAGGCAGCCAGGTCAAACTGGACTTCCGACTGGCGGATGGCAACCGGGCCATCGTCAAGCCCATGAGGTGGGTGACAGCCACGTTTATTTCATTTCATTTTCATGTGCACCCATATCTGCCAAGTGGTGTGGACTCTGTGCACTGACAGTCGATGGTGCATTTTGGCTGCTTCTGAGAGCCCAGTGAACAGGCCACACTGCGCGCTGATACTGGTCTGTGAGGGAAAATGGTACATCTTATTTTATTCTGACTGCACAAAGCGTCTTTGACTGCACACGTAGCGTCTTTGCATTAGTGTCAGGCATTGTTGGCACAGCATTCCAATGCCCCTCCCAGTTGTCTCCCCCAACTCTCTTGTTGTAACCGTTGAGGGGGTACTTCCGCAACGAGTCAATGAGTAGTTAATTGACAGGAGAATGGGTAAATGTGCTTCCCCCCCCCCCATTTTTTTTTAAATCCAGTGCCACAGAAATGGATATTGTGACCTTGAAAACTTGTGTTCTCTCTCCCTTACTGGATGCAATCATTGGACAGTATTATTATTGATACTGTTTTTAACACTCCATCCAAAGTAATTACCTTAGGAGTTTGATTGCAATCTAAGTACATTTTTAGGAGAGTTCAACAGAAAAATCTGATCCTCAATTTAGTCTTTATTTATTTGTTTTCACTTCTAAATTCATATTATACTCCCGTATGTTGTTTATTTCTCCTCTCATTTCAGATATTAAGTCAAGTTGACCACATTCATTAAGAGACAGTTGTTACAATAGTCCCCCCCCCCAAAAAAAACCCCAAAACAAACAAACAAATACAGTAAAGGCAGATTGTTATTCAGCATTATAACACTGTTTTTTTATATTAAAATCTTTATTTCATCAATATATATAAAGATTAAACACAAAACCTAGGTTGTTGGTCCTTTTGCAGACCATATACAGGGTACAAAAACAGCCGAGCAGACAAACACTAAGTATTTTAAAGATAAACTACAAACAGTGTAAAAGATTGATTTAAAATGCTCAACGAGAAAAAAAAATGACAAAGGGGGGAAAAAAGAACACCGCATCCCCCATATAAAAAGGGGCGGATTAAAAAAATGCATATCAAAAAATATTAAAAACCAAACCAATACATGTAATGCATTATGTCTGTATCTTGATTGGCCGAGAGCGAGTTACATGGTATTCGCTATTTTTGCTATCTTGCTGTGCAGGGCCAAAAAAAGACTATGTACGCATAGTAACCAAGGTACATATGTACTATATATATCAACAAAGTACTATACGCATACCGATAGCAACCAGTATTATGTGCAAATGCATACGGCCCGGGTGTGCGTGTTGCGTGTATTACACCCAAGCGCTAGCGCTACAGAGCTGGGTTCAAACATTTCATGAGGGGGTGGTTTGGATAGGTTTAGTAAATTTTCAACTAATTTCGTATTGAAATAGAAATTTATTAAATCTATCAGTTTTCTCTTAAAATCAAGCAGAATCTGTGGGTGAGGTGTTATAAAACAAATATTGACTGCTTTAACTCGTGCTCTAGTAAAACTAGCCTCCCTCAGTGATCCACTGAGCATTCTATTTTCCCTCGGCTTTGCCTCATGAAAATAGAATGCTCCTCAGGAGCCTAGTTTTACTATACTTTGTACACGTACCACACTTGAAGTGGTCAATATTTGTATTCCGGTCTTAAATGAATGCCACTAGAAATCAATTTCACTATTCAAATAGTTTGTTGGTACATGCACATTTATGTAAACTACAAATTGTAGAGTCAAAATGTGATTTCAACAGATCAATGGAACTAGCCAACAGTTGGCCTGGCAGTCAGTTGTATCATCACACTTTCAAACAGCTGTTGATTTATTGATTCATGAAATGACCTTGTTTGATATGAATTTTGCTCGTGGCAATTCAATCAAAAATTCTGTTTTGTATTTGTATTGTATCCAAGTGGCATCTGGCATACGCCTCTGACAATTGAAAAAGTGGTATTGATTCTCTTTTTTTTTGAATTTTTTTTGCGATTTGCGTTAATAGACATGTCTACTTTCTATGGTGATTGTGTAGCTGGAGTTACCTCAGCCCTCTATTTTATCATTGTGTTGGGCTGGAGGTAACCTTCAACAAGGATAATCATCTCTTAAAATTGAATTCCAAAATGTGCCATTTTGTCCCTGTGACACACTAATTCCCCTTGGGACTCACCCAAACCTTGTCAGGCATAACCACTACACAGGTCCTTGAAGAAAATAACGATCCACGATGAAGATTCAGCCTACAATTGCAGTGAAAAAGGAGGCATTACTTGCACTTGGAAAACCTATAGAAACCTATAGATTTTCAAAACCTATTAAAATACCTATAAACCACAAAAGGCAAAATTTTCCAGCCAACTTCTGATATACAGCCAAACGCAACAAATACTGATTTGCAAGAGTCATTTCAACAGTACATGTATTTGTACGATATTTCTTGCCCAAACCTCATATGTTTCAATACTCCGGGGTGTGCACTGGAGCATAAATTGTACAACAATAGGCCGTGCACAACGGCCAATTCAAGATCAACACACGGTCCGCCTCCACAGACTTCATGGACTTTGTGTGTGTGTACAAAAGGTGTTTTTAGCATGTTTAGACGTCACCCGGAGGTGAGTCAAGGCAATCTTGACGTCTTAACCTTGTCAGCCGTGCCTGTGTATAGCTAGTGCGTGTTATCACGTCCTCTGAGGCGAACTTGTTAAGAAACCCGTATTGTAATTCGCCAAACAAATTAGAAGCCATTTTAAACGCATTCCTAGAGTCAAGATGCGCGTGCTTTTTGGTTACGCAATTGGTCAAAGGATCCTGGAGTGCATGCATATTACCTGAGCGCGACTCGTGCGAGTCTGGTGCCACCGCAGAAAATGACAGTTGCCGAATTAGTCTAGATATTGATGAAGAGGAGCACTGTGAGGCCTGTATTCAATAATGCCAGCATTAACAGTGATTTCCTGAGTCCACACCTACATGTGCCGGTACATGTATAGGTAGCATAGGTGTAACCCCAATACCCCAGCGAGGATTTAAACTTTTGAAGAATTTGGGTCTTTTAGATTTGTTTGTTGTAACATCAATTTCCATTGATTTTTCACTGCAGATCACCGAGGGAGTTTGTGTACAAATACAACAACGACGAGCCATTCTGGTTGGACCAAGAGAGACACAATGCAGAGATAGCAGCATTTCACCTTGACAGGTATTCCCCCCAACTCTCCTTTACCCTTCCCCCTCCCCCTCCCCCTCCCCCTCCCCCTCCCCTCTCTACCCCTTCTTCTCCTGCTCAGTTTTCAACACAGATTCAGATCCAGAATTTTTCAAACAATTGGTTGGCTGAAGTACGGATGCCATAAACCGTTAGCAATGAATCCAGATGTGTAGTATTTATTCTGGTAATATGTATATCTTGAACAATGGGCATCACAAGCATTGGTCATGGAATTGTTTGTTTGGGGGGAGGGGTGAAGGATGGTTAGCCACCACAACCTATCGCCTTTAACTGTTCCCTTGTTTAACACAATGCAATCAATTGATACACCACAAGCAGGAGCTAGTACATTACATTGCTTGGTGACAAAGCTTCTTTGGTTCTTAAGACTCCTAGGTTTCAGGCGGGTACCTCCCTGCTCAGGTCGACTCATCAACTTGACTCAAGAAATTCTACTCAAGTCCAAGGATCAAGAGCTGCTCAATACATTCTTCTGGAAAGGTTAGTTGAGTGTTCAAACCTTACTTTTCTTGATTCCCAATGCAAAATGCAAGGCAATTTATATACAGTAGTACAATACAAATTTCACTATACAAAATTTCACAGATAGGGGTGCTTTTGCTGTCAGCAATAAGCCATTTGCGAGTTAAATTTTGAATAAAATCTGGAACGCCGACTTAATCCAATGCTTTGCACGTTTTAACTTAGCATTCTCCCGACCAAAGAGATTTTGTTTACTTTATCACGTGATTCGGGGCAAGCCTTAAGCTTGCAACCCCCAGCTCTGGCATGGTCTGGTGTCTTTGTGCCATTCTCGCCCATTGTGAACAATGTATTGGTGGTGAGTATCTCTTACGTACAAATATTGCAGTATTTGGCCACAGGACCATGAACCTTCATAGCATCAAGGCAAACATCCTGGACCAAATTTCTTGGAGCTCAAACTGCTTCTTAGCACACGGTAATGGCTCCTGAGCGAACATAAGCTGTAGACACAAGCAGTTTTCATCCAAAGCAATTTGGGCAAGCAACCTGTTTTTGATAAGCAAATATTTTCTGAACTTAGCACATTTTTGGGTCGCCTAAACACAGTTTTGCCCAGGGACACTTACCAGTCCTAAATTCTGTATTTCCTATCTCGATATGACCGTATCCCCATATGTACCGTATGTTAAAATTTAGGTTAGGGTTTTGACAAAAATGTATAACTTCTACATGCTTTCATGGATTTTGATGAAACTTGGATGTAGTGACCCTTGTGTGGGAAGACACAATTCTTCATTAGATTACTGAGGTCAAAGGTCACATAGGGGTCATTACAGGTCATTGTTCAAATATACTTCAAATGTTTCTTTGTCTACAGAATTTGATTGCTTTTTAATGTCACTTGGATGGAGTGATCCTTGGGTGGGGGTTCATCACAACTATTCTGAAATTGGAAGTCAAAGGTCATCTAGGGGTCATTTGAGGTCGTTTAAAAATGCTCAATATTATATTTTTTTTGGAGAACACAAAACATACAGGAAACGACCGCAAAAAAGGCGACACATGCGATCCGCACATCACCTTGTCTGTTTGTAGAGTTGATGAACTCCACTGCTTTTGACCCATGCAGGAGTTTTGTAATACTTCTCGCATTTTCATTTGGCCCTTACCAGTCAACACCTGTACTGAATTGTATTACATTGTATTCATTCCCTGGTGAATCCCGCCAAATGCGAATTTTTTATTTACACAATAGTACAGGGTGACCATTATTCAGGCGACTTGAATCAAGGTTACAGGATTGTAGAGGCGCCCTACAATCCTTTTACCTACGTGCATGCGCGTATACTCTCTCCATGTGTGTGAAAGTATATAATTTATGAATTGCAAAGGTTGGTCGAACACTGCCGTGGCCTAGTGGTTAGGCATGCTAGCTAATGATCAGAGGACCCGAGTTCGATTCCCTGCTGTTCATTCTTCAGGTTTTGCTCTTTTTTTCAAAAATTTCAAGTTTTATCTTAGAAACGTTATTTTTCAGTCGGATACTACTTGTATAGCAGCAATTTCCTTTTTCTTTTCTGATCCGAGGCTCTGGAGGATTTTTTTAAAAAGGAAAATAAAGTCCGAAATCCGCACCAAGTTGAAAAATAGTAGCCTCCACACAAGCCTGGTTATAAAAACCATGTTCCATAGGAAAGCACACAAAGTACCCCAGATAGTTGTGTAATAAAAAATATCGCCCCCCAAACCACACAATACTGGGGCAGTTTGTTGCAGTACACGGAGTAACAGGCAGGGCGGTTTGGGGCGGTACAGGGACTTCAGGGCTAACCTCACTTTAACTTGCAGATGGGAACCTGTGCTTTATCGGGAAGTGTGCCCCTTGGTTCTGCAATGAGGACCATCCCATTTGTGCCCAGGGGCATCTGATGGAGGTGTCCATGTGCCAGTTCCTGCCGTCCTTTGGGGGAGGCATCCCAATATTTGAAATGGAATACCCCTGGAGTCAGGGAGTGAAAGAATCCCAAGTGTGAGTCTTGTATGCCAATTTTGGTTTTGTTTTTGGTTTTTGAAAGAAATGTTGTTTATAATTTTCAACTTCTGACATCATCCCCAAACCTCGTGTGTATTTTAATTTGCACGGCAGTTGAAAGGAACTTGTTAATTTGGTGACCAAGATTCAAGTTTTAAGCTAAGCAAGTGAAAGTTGTTGAAATGTACAAGTAGCAAGTTTATATAAAAAAGCAATAGACTGTGAACCAAATAAAGCCTTGGAACCCCATCTTACATGACATCATTGTGTTTGTTGCTTATCCACACTCAAACCAGCCGAGTGCAAGATGTTTTGATACACTTGGTAAGTTCAAATATAATTATGGTTAATAGCTGTAAAACTCTTATTTTCTGGGTGTTTTTTTTTCATTCTACAGATGGAAGGGGAAAAATATCTGTGTGGATTATCTAAAGGTTTGTTTTGCAACTTTCTCAATCTAATCTTATGGACTAGTAGCAACAGTTCAAGTTAAATGTGTATTTTTAAGGTAATGTACAGCATTTGCTTTTGCTGTAATTGTCAGAAATGGATGGATTTGGGGGTTAGTATTTTATAGCAAATTTTGTTACTCTGACCTGTTTAAAGTTTTGTGTTCATAAATGCTGGGAAAAATTGTTTTGTGGTAGTCTGGTTACCTGACCCTATACGAAATGAAGTAATTTATAGACATTGGGGAATTGTCAGGTCAGGGGACCAGACTATAGCTGGCTTGCACGGATGTGTTAACCGTTTGCAAACAAAATGTGGAGTTACTGAAGTTTGTAAATTGAGGGCAGTATTTGAAAAAAGGGCAGTTTTGTTTCGAACGACGATTGGCCGACCATCGTTGGAAATTTGATACAAAAATTCCACTTTTCTTGAAAATGACAGCACACCAGGTGCCATGATTTTCACAGGTTGCTTGAGACTATTATTCACATACAGTCAAGTAAGGTATTTCATAATAATTTAGTTTTAATAATAAAATAGTTTTGTTTTTGGATGTTTGAAATTTTGTATATTGCCTTGAAGTGCTTGTTAAGTTTGCAACAGTGTGACATTGTGTTAGTATCTAAGGCCTTGTTATGCTTTGAAACAAGATATGTATATCATTCCAAGATTTAAATATTCCTACCAAATAGTTGACCTGAATTTTCCTCTGGGTTTGTGCTATCAGCTTTATGTTGAGCAAAAACGATCACAATTGTATGTACACGACGCCGTACATGTGGGTCAGGTTTAAACACGATATCTGACTGTTATCTCCAAAGTATTATTTAAATGGTTTAAGCTTTGAACTTGACTACGTGCAGCACATTGTCACCATGTACTAACTATGCAGGGCTGGGTGAGGCTGTGTACAACCTACATGGGCAAATGATAGATTGGTAATCATGCAGTGTCCTCAGACAACAAAAGATGGACTGAAGTGCTTCCACATTGGAGATAAAAACCCAGCCTAATGTAGACAGATATAAAACATTTCAGATATGAGTAAACAAACTTTATTTTGACAAATGTATTGGACAACTGCTTGCATTGAGAACAAGAAACAGAACGGTGACACACAAATTTGAGACTGAGCAGTTGTTATGTTTATTTCACTTACCGGTAATGAAGCTTGGTATAGAAACGGATTGCCATTTTAAAAAAAAATTCTTTTCAGAAATTATTAGGGCTGACAGTTCACAGCAGCAAATCAAACATGGGCCACACGATTGATCTCTAAGACTGGATAGTGTACATACCCATTTCCGTGCACAAAATAGTGAGGCCAGTGTGGGTAACTTTTGTGTTGTGTCCCCAGGGGCATGTTTTCGCGACCGTGACCAGCAACATGTTTCGGCTTTGGACATTGGTTGAGCATTTTCGTGACTTCGGTTGGCTGGAGTGGTGTCACTGTTCCGACCGACACGGCCAAGGGTCGGTTACAGAGTGCGTTTCAAGATGGCGGAAATATAAATACACGACATGTAACTAAACAGTGTTGGGGGAAAATAATCTTGTAATGCTTAGTTTTAATACGTACATGGTAAGTTTGTACATTTTAAGTGGCCTGTAGTAAAATGTCTATACAACTTACAAGCCCACAAGGTATTATCCCGAATTTCGCTGGAATTGGCCGCAAACACCTAAAAATTATCGATGTTGTCAAAATGTTTTACAACTTTTTGACCTAGTGGCCTTTATATTTTGTTTCAATACTTATATTATTTTTTTCATTTCTGTCATGAAAAGGAAAAATAAATGTGATTTGATTTGAACTTTTTGACACGGTTTTCGGTTCAGCGTTTTTTTTGTGCATGTGTAAACATGTTTCTGGTTATCCATTTGATGTCACAAACATGTTTCTGGTCACGGTCGCGAAAATACGCCCCAGTCAGAGTTCTTGTGAGTGGTCTACAGGAGGCCATATTTGGTTCATGCACAAAGTCTATTGGCAGATCTAGGGTCCCACCCATGAGGCAGACGGATCAAACAGTGAGGCATTGGTATTGGAAATACATGTAAACATGTCAGTTTGTTTGTCTTTGCAGGATCCTGTCTGGACCAGAGGGCGATTCCTCCTGGATCTAATAGAGCAGGGGATTTTCGACTTCTTTATTCGTAAGAACATTTTATTGTATACCTTCATTAGAGTACACACAAGAAACAAATAACAATATTTCAGTGGGTCATAGGGTGCATATGTGTCGGTGTGGAACCAAATCCAGATCCTTGGAGTCAGTACCATGCTATAACAACAAAAACTGCACCTGATCCAGATCTTAAGTCACGTGACCAGCCAAAAATAAACATGGAGAAGGTTAAACATTGTACGTCATTTTATTAGTCGACATTTTGATCCACCTCTCGGTCAGGATCCCTGAGATCCGTGGTCCAGATCAGGACCCAAGAAAACAAACAAATGGATCCCGGATCCAAATCAGGATCAGTGAGAAACAAACAGGCCCATAGTGTGGGCAACTCCTTTACTCTAACCCTCCCAGATCTTCAAAATCCACGAGGAGGTATCAATGAAGTTTGCAGGATTTAGGAAGGTAGAGTCCAGTCATTGTTACTTTTAAGTTGGGCTTGATGCCCCATGTGAAAGGTACATTGTAAGAACCCCAATATTAAAAAGTGAATCTCCTGGCGTTAAAATTCCAGAAGATGTTGATGCCCTTGAAGTTTAAGCGTAAAAACATGTCATTCAGTTCTCGTGCAGTGGATAATCTTGTAGAATTAAAAACGCCTGGAGATTAAGGGTTAAAGAATATGTACACATGTACATCTACATAAGTGTCATCTTGGATTTTATTTACTCCGGCTCTTCAATAATAGCCATTAAAGTGAACAAGTTGTTACATCTAGGTTGAACTTTTTTTATGTGAGTAAAGGGATAATTATTGGAAACGGAGAGGAATCACAATATATTTTACTCATAATTCTTCATTTTTGGCAACAGGCAATTACGATCGGCATCACTTTGATATGATGCGGAAGTACAAGAGACTTGGCACTGTTCTCTTTCTGGACAACGGCAAAGGTTTTGGCAATCCACATGTAGATGATACCACATTCCTAGCCCCGATTTACCAATGCTGCAAGTAGGTACCAGCTTTTTACTTCTCTGAACTGTGCCTTAAGTGTAAAGGGTCAGACCTTGTGTCCTGTCTCATTTTCTGTCCGTCCATCCCTTCATTGACCTTTTGTCAGCCCTTCCATCATTCTTGTCAGTCCCTCTGGAACTCCTTCCATGAATCTGTCTTTCAGTCCTTCTGTTGGTCCTTATGTCTGTCTTTCTGTCAGTGCTTCTGTCAGTCCATAGGTCCTTCCTCAGTCCAACTGTCTGTCCTTTTATCAGTCCTCCTACAAAGATTCTGACAGTCCTGTGTCAGTCCTTCTGTTAGTCCTTCCATCAGTACTTTCATCAGTCTTTCTGGAAGTCCTTTTTTCCAGTCCTTTTATCAGTCCCCCATCCATGCTTCTGTCAGTCCTTTCCTTGGTTGTCCTGTTTGTCCCTCTGTCATTCCATCCATCATTTTCATCAGTCCTTCCCTCAGTTATTTGTTAGTAATTTTGTAAGTTCTGCTGTCAGTCCTTGTATCAGTCTTCCATCCATGCTTCTGTCAGTTTTCATGTCAGTCCTTTTGTTCGTCCCTCTGTCAGTCCTTCCATCAGTCAGTCCATCAGATCTCACATCAGTCATGGTATTCACTGTGTTTTTTGTTCATACCCACAGAGTGCGGAGGTCAACGTATTTGCATTTGAAAGAACTCACCCAGTTGCGGCTGAGTGACCGCATGCGCTCGTCCATGTCACATGACCCCATCGCACCTGTTGTCACGGAGGATCACCTGCAGGCAATGGACAGACGACTTGAAACCGTCCTACAGACCATCGAAAAATGTATACACGTGCATGGAGATAGTCAGGTGCTAGTTGAGACATTGGACAACTGATGCTACAAAACAGGGATAAGATGGGAGATCACACCGCCACCAAAAATAACATTGTGGAAGGTGCATCTTTTTTTTTTTACTGTAATTGAGATCAATTTGTCAACCAGAATATTAAATAAATGTTATCAAATATTAATTAAATTACTCTTCCGTCAAAACCACCTGCCATGAAACGGAGTACTGATGATTTATGCATTGCAATTCGTGAAGGTAGACGGTGTTGATTTTCTGAAATTCACCATTGTTTTGCCCTCGAACAATTATTCATAAATACCTGAGACAGTTTACCCATTCCTATTGGTCGAGAGCCCGTCATGTGGCTGGTCTTAAACGGATGATAAAGACATGGCTGGCTGTTCTTAAACACTTTTCCAGTGTCACATGAAATTTTGACTCATGAAAATCCAGTGCCTCTTACCGTTTTATTGGTTGAACGTTCACAATCCTCATGTAGGTATCCGCAATACTACCAGCGAGTCAGTATTTTATAGTCCTAAATTCTCAACGCAACGCCCCAGGTGCATTCTGCACGACATCACGCAGTACGCGCGATGGGCACGCTGATCTCCATAAAAGGAGTGTTAACATACAAATGTACATCTTATTTGCGAGCTGGACACTCCATTTTTTAGCTAGAGGGGTGTTTCCAAAAACATGAAGTGAACTTGTTGAACAAAATCGGAGTTTTTTTAACGAAATGTTTTGATTTTTTTTGACCGAAAGGTATTTATGAATGGGAATAAATATGTGCTTGGTCGGTTTTTATCATTCTGTTTAAGACCACATGGAGTCTGGGTGCTGATAATTACCCTCGTCTCCGGCTCGGGTAATTATCAGCACCCAGACTCCAAGCAGTCTTAAACAGAGTGATTAATACCTCCGAAGCCCACATTTATTCCCTTATCATAAATCAATTTTAAAAAAATTATGTAACAGTCCGCTTCTCATTTCTTCAGCAAGGTTGCCGTTTCCTCGTGCTTGAAAATGTTGAAACCATATTGTATCCTTTGCCAGCCATTTCCATGCCATTACTTACATGAATGAGCTTTCAAATTTTTTGTTTAAGTGCCTTAAACTTTCAGAAATGTCCAGCCATTCTGATGATGTTTGAAATGTAGACAAATTATTCCAATGACCTTGAGTAGTGCAAGAGTCCATTTTACTTCACCTGCTCAGAAAGTGTGCCGTCCAATCCATCCTTGCCAACAACAGTAGTAGCAGCTGGTTAAGATCAGTCTCAAAGAAAAATTTAATCAGTCAAGAAGAGCCGGTTGAGCTCGTGTTTCTTTGTGTTTTATAGCTGTAATGTTACTTTGAAATTGTTACTTTACAATTGGTTTTAAAGGGAATATACATCATTTGCTTTTGCTGTAATTTTCAGAAATGGATGGAATTGGGGGGTTGGAAATATGTAGCAAATATAGTTACACCGACTTTTTCGAGGTTTTGGGTTCGAAAATGCTATAAAAAGCCAAGGGCTGGTTCCCTGACTCCATATAAGAAGAAACAGAGCAGTTTACATACATTGGGGAATTGTAAGGTCAGGGAACCAGTCTAGCTGGCTTGTACCCGTTCATAGGTGTGTAATCGATTGCAAACAAGTGCGATGGTCAATTGGCGCCAGTATTTGAAAAAAAGCCAGTTTTATCCAACGCTGGTCAGCCGACCAGCGTTGGAAATTGATACAAAAATACCACTTTTCTTGAAAATGACAGTATACCAGGTGCCATGATTTTACAGGATGCTTTACACTGTCATTCACTAACAGTCCAGCAAGGTATTTCAAAATGATTTGGTAGTTTTATTTTTTGATGTTTGCAAATGTTGTATTTTCCCTTTAATGCCTCCACATTGTGTGTCATCCACAGTATGTCTCGTAACTTGGATTTCCAAATGGTGAAAGATTTGTCCACAACTTGTTAAGTAATAGGTTGGTGGTCTCGTGCTCGCAAGAAATACAACCTACTAAACATTAGGAACACATTGGTTGATGCAGCCTTAGGCTGTTAACACTTTTACTTTATTTTGGGACTGTATTTGTGTGCAAAATGAGGTCTGTGTAACGCCACCATTGCGGGGTTGCAAACAGATGTGTGTATTCCATGTTATTGACACAAGTTTGTATGTTTCCAGATGGTTCTTGTTACTGGGGCTAGTGTTTGGCTAGGAAATTCTGGGTCAAAGGTTCAACCAATTTTAAAGGGGCTTGCACAAGCTATTCACCTGTATTTGAATGAATAACTTGTGAAATATGAAATTTTTGACCCAGGAATTAAACAATTACGCAAAACATACTGCAAAAATTGTCTCTGCAGCGAGGGTAAGCTTGATATTTTTACTGTTGGTCCATGGACAAAGGCGCTTTTTTCACTGCCCTTATTCACTCAAAACTATTAATTGGGCAAAATAATAGCTAGGGGTGCATCCAACCATGTACATCAACATAGGTGTAAACCTTCATTTCCTAACCCTTCATAATCTTATCAGGAGGTTTTGGAGGATTTTGAAGGGTTTGGGAAGGTGATAACAGCCAAGTTGCTATTACTTTAAATAGCCAATGTTCCATTAAATTCCTACTCATTAGTTTCACAGTTTCAGGTAGATTCTTAAAAGTTCCCAGGGCATTTGGGTTTAATGATGGAGCACTTTTTTAAAATTTAATTTGATACGTTTAACTTACCCACCATATTTGTTCCTTAGCACTTGTATCATTCATCGCAAGAATGCATTTGATTGATTTTATTCCTCAATTTACGTCAGACTTAAATCTTTGTGAATTTAAACTGAATGTTGGGATATTTATTTGGTTTGTGAAAATGTCACGATGATTTGAAACTGCCAATATTTATTTTTAAGAGTGATATTTTTGTTGAAGATTTGCCTTTATATCATTATTTTGAAATTCAATACCTGTTGAATGTTTGGTGACCCCAAACTTGAAGATTCAGAGAAGGTGATTTCATAATGAATACTTTCAAATCAGGTAATTTTAGGTGACTTGACATGGATGATAATTTTTTGCCATATAACTTACTTGCTATTAAATTAATCTATCATGAGATAAAGGTAAACTGTTTAACATCATTCACCTCTATTTTGTCTTCTGTAATTTCATACTCATTTGGTTTTCATTCCACGGGTATATGTCATAATATATGACATAGAGAATCTCCTTATTTTTGTATATGTAGATATCTTAGCAATATTTACAATTTCGTGTGAATTTTTTTAAAAATATGCATGTATTTGTCCATATGGCTCTGCACAATTTAGCACAAACTAGAGTAATAAGTCATTTGGCGTTACTTGTTGTTGCCACACTTGCACGTAGACTGTAATAAAGCTATTTTGTGTAATATACAAGTGCAAATCACGATAGAGTGATTTTCACTCGGATAAATTATACACAGGTCTGAAAGGGACATGGTGACCGAATCTCCTATCTCCAGATTTTGCATTCAATCAAAAAGGTGGAACAGATTTTGCATGGAGGTCGGAGTGTCAAAACGTAAAACTTGTCACAGTCCAAAGTTTTTGGAATTTGTAGAACGAGAACTCTTCTTCAATTTCACTGGCAAGTCTTTCTTCAAACCAGAAACAACGTCAAGGGAAGAATATTTTATCTAACTATTATGTCGCCAGACAAACAGATTATTTGATTGCAAACCAAAGGGTCACTTATAGAGGGCATGCTAAGAGAGTACGTTCAACCATGTGTTCTTATTCCTCCATGGTTCAACTTTGGTAGTGTGTCAGACATCCTTATACATGTACTTTGATACTTTAATTAAGTTAAAAATATCTGCCAATGAATAATATATGAACAAAACATTTACCCCGTTTAGGTCTTTACTATAAATTCACTTAGCAAATAGCACAAAGTAACCGGGAACCAGTGACAAGTTGTATCCACCATGTGACATTTTGGCTGGTAAACCTGTTGTTGCTAAGCGCCAATCATAAACTTGTTCCCAGATGTTCAGTTAAGTTTTGTTCATTGCCTATTGTAATGAAATTGTGTGCTGAAATGAGCCACGTGCTCAGAATATATAATTATTTATTGGTGAAATTCAGGCATTTGAATAGAAATCATGATATTTTATAAGACAGTGGGAAAATCAATGCCATAATAACTCCATAGATTATTGTTGTTGACAATGACGTTGCTATTTTATGCCCAGTCTGTAATATTCTTCCACGGGAATGAAAGAAAATGAGAAAAAAAGGTAAAATGAATTATGTAAATAAAAAGAATATATTTGCAAATTCCGAATTAACAAGATTTACATTTATTACTAATGTGTATACAATTGTCTGCTTGGATTTGATTTCAATTTACTAATTATTGTTTTTCCGCCTTTTGTTGAAATCACATATTGCCTGTTGACCCACCAATAAATGTGGCATGTCTGTACAAGTAAGTATTAAATAAATTAAAAAGTCACTGTTTTTGTCTGGATCCCACATATTTGGGTATGTTTATGTATTGTTTTGAGGGACCACTCAAAACTACCTAGTTTTACTTTTGTTGCATCAAAATGCAATTACATTTGTATTAAATTATGTCAGGTGAAAGGGTACATTTTTTTTAAGTCGGTATTCTTATATATATTGCATGATTGTTAACACTGAAATTGTATCCATTTGAATGGATTTAATTGTTTCATTTGATTTTTTTTATTTATTTGTTCTTCCAAAAAGTATAAATGTCAAATGTATTATTAAAAAAAGAAAGAATAATATTTGGATGTAATTTGACACAGGTTGTAAGTGTCTAGTTTTTTTGTATTGCCATTGATTTGCGTTGGATTGTTGCAGACGTTAATTCATAAAGAGAAGAAATAAACAACTCTGATATTCCTTTAGAACCACGACAATATACCTTGTTTTATGAGAGCCCTACGAAATGGGAGGTCGTCGGAACCTTCAGAAAGGGCAGTGGCTGCACTGTTCAATCACTGTAGGCCTACGCACTTTCAGGTGTTATTAATGCGCCTAGTGAATTTCGTTTTGTCGGTGTATTCCTACCTCCAATCCTCCATGGTATGACGGAGCCAGCCGTAATTTCTAGGCAACAATCGACCGTCGTTCTTCTAAGTAACATGCGTGATTCGTTCAAATCGAGTATCTCTAAGGAAAGAAATCACCGAGTAAATATCGTTGCCCAGGAGGAGACGGGCCATTGGATCATCCCGTTTTTTAACACTGAACTAAAAAAAATAACACCACAAAATCCCGCACACACTTCGGCACTGGCCATTCTACAGGGTGACCCCCCCCAAAATGCAACCCTAAAACAATTGCCTTTTAAAAAGAAAGGGATCGGTGGATTTTTATGTTTTGGGTATCAGATTAAAGCTGAGAGCTTTTTCTATCAAATACTGGAGAGAAAAAATCATGAAAATAGCACTTTGGTAGGCAACTTCCAGCATTTAGAACAGAGTCGAACTTATTATACAGAAAGTTTTTCTAGGCAACCGGGTGACAAATTGCTACCGATGGTCCAAGGAATTTAGGAGCCCTCTTTGCCGGTCATCAACCTCTTTTTTTTTAGGGTCTCTTCACTCGACCACACTACAGGGCGAGTAAAAAAAACCCGAAACCCAAATGTTGGGACCATTGTTTTAAGGAAGTTCTTCATATAGCACTTTCAAAATCTAGGATATGAAAGCCCAATTCATAAGCTTTCTTTTAGTACAAGAATTATTCAAATCACTCATGTATTTTTTCAAACACAACCACCATTTTAGGATTCTGTCCACGGGATCACAAAAAGGTTCAGTGTTCTTTCAGCAAAACGAAAAGAAATCACGTAGGGATGAGTGTGAATTGTTTCCGTTTTGCTGAAAGCATGCACACCTTTCTTGTGATCCGTGGACAGACCGTAAAACGGTTGTTTAGCACAGCATTTTAAAGAATTAAATTCTTTATCTGAGTTGTTTAATTTATAGGACTGTTTATTTTATGTGAATTATGACTATTATAAGTGTATGGTAAACGTAGTGCACAACTGTGACCTAAATGTTCCTCTAAACACGTAGGGTGCATAGATACAACGAAATTCAGTCCATTGTCGCGGACTAAAGTACCGGTACACTGCAAACTATGTTTAGCAATTAATCACAATCTTGCTTTCACTCTGTAAACATGTTTAGAAGCTCAACATGTCGTGTCCAACTTCTAAACATCAATGTTCAAATTCAGCTAAAAACTATCCATCAATACTCTTTAACATAGTACATGTTTGTTTACAAAGTGATAGCAAGTGTTTAGAAAGATGCATAACCCTAACTTCCTAGTGGGTGTGCAAAATCGTATTAAAATTGTAATTGCTAATTTTTAACGCATGTTTGTACGTTGTACAGGGTGAGTAAAAAAAACCCGAAACCCAAATGTCGGGACTATTGTTGTATTGAAGTTCTGCATGTAGCACTTTCAAAATCTAGGATATGAAAGCCCAATTCATAAGCTTTCTTAATAGTATAAGAATCATTCAATATAATATATCATGTACTTTTCAAATTACGGAATTTTAAACACAAAGAGACTATTTTTCTGATGGCATGTGCACGTGCTTTGAATAGACATTACATTACACAACAAAACGTGTAAATAAGATTTCCGTAAATAAGATTTCCGCATGTTTTACCGCATGTATAATGTAAACAGCACTAAGCAGGTGAGACACTAATTGCACATTATAATTTGTAATGAAAAAAATTAATACGAGGATATCGTTGAGACTTAAAACTATGGCAAGTGACTCTGATGAATTTGCCTGAAACATCAAATGCAGAAAACATGGTGAGAAAAAACTTCTTACTGCCATGTACCGACACAAGGAAGAACCACCAAATATAAAAATTTACAACAGCAAAATATCCTAATTTCTGGCAACTTTTGGTGCTGAAAATAGTTTGCCTGAAAAGACATCACACATTTGCTTGTGGATATGGCAATTTGCATTAGCATAAAAACCGAAAAGGCACCAAGATACCCTTGAAAATGACAAAACCAAAATTGAAAATAAGTTTAATTGGCACAACAGGTGCATTTTCAATGATTGCAGTAAAAAATACATTGCATGGGCCCCACCTTTAATACAAAACATATCCAACTATATCAAACCTAGCCAGGTGGGGAGAGAGCTGAATCCCATAAAAAAGCTCACATGAAAATAAAGCGTGACGTCATTATGTCTCAGGTCTATTCCAGTCGTTCAACAAGCACATTGCTCTCCCCGTGATTACGTATACATTTGTCTATTGTCCGCAGGACGGTTTCCAGTCGTCTGTCCATCGCCTGAAGGTGGACCTCTGTGATGACAGGTGCAATTGGGTCATGTGACATGGAAGCATTTAGCCGGTTGCTCAGTCGCGACTGGGGGCGGGCTAGTTCTTTCAAACGGAAGTATGTGGATCGCCTCAGCCTGCCAGTTAAAAAGAACATCGTTTGAAATACAACATTGATACATGAATAATTGCTCTTCTACAATCGTTAAAGTTGCCTTCGCATTCTTTGGAGATAATAAAGAGCCTGAAAGTTCAGCCCTGGTGGCGCGCTTCCGGAACCCTTCAATAGAAAATTAACGGGCGAAAATTTAAAATTTGCAATTACATTCTGTACTTTTGGTACATTGATTTCTTAGAAAATTACCATCAAAAGGACCTGTTTAAAATTGTTACTAGCATCTCAATTTATGGAAACTGAAAAATCACCTGACGTGAAAGAGAAATATCGTGCCCAAAATTGACCTCTCGCTTCCGAAAATACATGTGGACTAGTGGAACTCGGAGCACTCGTACAAAGACGAAAACTTATGAAATAATTTTGTGGCAGTTATTGGGTGAAAACTTAAACTTAAATACATGTAGGAGATAAACTGTCTTTAGGGTATACAATTTTTAAAATAAACTCGAGGGACTCATTAGCATTCACAAAAAAAAATCTAAAATGACCGCTGATAAGGCCAAAAAAAAGTCTCCGGCTTCTGGTATGGAGCTTCCCCCAAAAGTGGTGCGGGACGCGGCTTTTTTTTTTCTTTTTTTTTCCTTCAAATATCGGCAGATGACTGCAAATGGTGCCCGACTAAATTTAGTGCAAAATATATGGGAGTCCAGAGAGGCCACATAAAGCTTATACTCGATCGTAACCCCATCTAAAAACACGTTAAAATTGTGCAGCAGCAGGATTCCAGTCAAACCAGTGAGTTTGGCATCTTTCATTGAAAAAAAAAAAATTTTCGTTTTGCCGACGCGCATGACGGCGACGCGCGCGCATACCAGAAACCGGAGACTTTTTTGGCCTAGGGACTGCATTCAAGCCTGCCCGACTAAATCTAGAACCAATCGGTTGTAGGTAGAAAAATCTTCGCGTCGTTTTACATTTTCTGTATCGTTTATATTCGTTTATACGTTTTTACCCATCTCCAAGTGATTCCTCCTATTTTTTTTCGTCAGGAATACCAAGATAAAATTCCCAACATGAATGTTTCTTCTCCATGGGGTGATTACGGTTAGCAATCGTTCTGTCAAAATTATAGCGAGAAAAGGAGCAACCTATAGGCGGGCCGCCCGAGGGTTCCGGAAGCTCGCCGTGTGACCTTTAACTTTCAGACTCATTTGCTGCATGGGCATGGCATCATACCTTTACGGTGGCCCTGAAGAAACATCAACGACATTATGTGATGATGGAACTACTTTCAGTGATCAGTAAAGTGATGAGAAACAATGTATATTCATCATTGTTCTAAAGTTAATCCACCTTCGGAAATACACTTGGAAGACATGCAAATTAATTGTTTGCTATAGTAGGCGATTTGAGTTTCCGAAACAGGAGCATGCATCATAAAACTTACTTGCAGCACTGGTAGACGGGGGCCAGAAATGTGTCATCATCTACGAGTGGATTACCAAAACCCTTGCCGTTATCAAGGTGTAGTACGCAGCCTACTTTTCGCTGGTATTTGCGAAGTTGGGAGTAATGATGCCTGTCGTAATTTCCTGCAGGTGAGATACAGATGAAGCAATTTATTCATTGCTTTCTCAGCTAAAACGGCCTCAACCGGAGATATAGTTTCATTTTATGACCTAACTGTACGTTATTATGTGCAAAACATACATGTATGATTTGTAATGAATTACATGTGTATACAAACAGGGCCGTAAGGATAGGAGGGGAGGGGCTGGGTTGGGGTGGGATGGGTGAGAGAGAGATTGTTTGAATCTTTACCATGACGAGATTGTTAAGGTCGTGAACCCACGTTATACCAAAACGTCAAGACTTGTAAACCACCTTCATTTCAAATGCTGTACAAGCAATGCAGGACAGAACGGGGGTGCTGAAAGTTGGTATTTAGGCCTAGAGCAGGTACATGTAAGACTATGGGCCTTATTCACGAGTTGGCCATTTTGTCGAGTTCCCTGAATGTATTTAATTAATTGTTAACTGTTGAATGGGATGGCGCCAGACTTTTTATGCAGGCACAATGCAGCCTTATTTTACTGTCATTTTATTTTTAAATATGGATTTAAACATAAGGGAATGTTTAATTAAAAAATATAAATTATTTATTGAAGCAGACTGGAATTTAGTATATATTAAGTTGCTTTCATTCCTCTTCGCAAGTTCCAAAAATTAAGATTGTACCTAACTTTCAATTCAATATGGCCGACTCGTGAATAAGGCCCATAGGTGACTCTTGGTCAACTGCATAATAACCAATGTAAATAAAAAAGAATGTATAGCAAAGTTCCTTACGAAGAAAGAAGTCGAATATCCCCTGCTCTATGAGGTCTAGTAAGACTCTGCCACCCAGCCGGATGGAATCCTTGGATCAAAGGAAAGGAGAAATACACACATGAAGGCATCTTACAAGACTCCAGTAAAACCCATGCGCGTGCGAAGAACTTGTTTTGAACCGTCACCACATAGCTTCGCCCATCGGACCCTATCTGTACTTTTCTTCCCACCCATACCATAAAATCCGCCTCTTATAGTGGAAGTAGGGCCTATAGACCGCTTGCAGACGCGTTCGATAATTGACGCGCTAAGGTGAGCGACGCCATGTTATGGGACAAAATGTGCGTGGATAGATATACGCCTGTCCATTGATCTCAATGCGCCTGTCCCACAACATGGCGTCGCGCGCTTTCGCGCGTCGATTATCGAACGCGTCTGCAAGCGGTCTATTGTCAAGACCACACCTATATAATTATTGTAACGTATGCCAAAGTTATTGCTTAGGAACTGTATACATTGTTTCGCGCGCATTAGGGTCAAAGGTCAATAACGTGGTTCTTTACGCGTTGCGGGCCGTGCATGTACATGTACATGTAGCAGGTTTTCAGAATGTTTTGTGTACTTTCATGACTGCGCTTGTTTTGGAAAGTACTGGATGTAAAATTTGTCGATAATTGCACGATTGCAAGTTTTGAGGACTTCGGCACTAAAGTACATTTCTGTAGCTGTTTGTGGAACTTGTTTTAAAGCTCGGTGAATCGTAAGTTTGATTTCATGATGTATTTTTTGTGTAACTTTATTGTGTGGATTGTAGCAGTTTAGCAATATGTAAATTGTACGTGCGTGTGGGCATATTGAAAGTGTTTACGTTTCAGATTGTACTCATTCATGTCATTGGAATTGTAATGTTATACCGTATCGGCACAGAAAATTCATGTTTCATGTTGGATCAGTGGACATGTTAATGTATTCTTTGTCATGTAATGTATTCTGTTTAATGTATTTTGTGTAAAAGGAGAATATTTGTTTGTTGTATTTTTCAGATTAAACCTTGATTCTTGATGTCCTGCTACTTGATCATCTTGATGATACTTGATCACGAGTGAATGACCAAAGAGTTAATAGCAGCTAGTTAAGCAGAAAATGTAACAATTATCAATAGATTAAAACTAGCTTTGTATCATAATCTTTATACCAAACTGATTGAATGCCAAAATAATGATGTATTCATCGTGTGGATGTATGAGTGAGAAACATGATGCATTTACAACTAATACTAACCTTCAAAATATCCAAGCAAATGTTTTTACCTTTCCATCTGCGATAAGAACAAAAGTGCGTATTTATTTTGTAATTGTCAAGACTACTTTCATGTACTTATCAAAATAAGTTTACCGTTTTGTTATTTGTTTCTTTCGGTATAGGCAACAGAAAACTGATTAGGTTATGAGAATAATTTTACAGCTTGCTTGGTTGACATATGTAGACGCAGAATTCCACAAATCGTCTTGGTTTAAGGCTTATGTCACACATCGTATACATGTATAGGCTATATGTATAGGAGTCATAGGACTCGCGCACATGGCGTGACTCTGGTCAAGTTTTTAGGGGATCCGCTGAGGGGGATGACAATCCGTTTTTAACCAAATTAAACCCTCATTTTTGCGGTCCCAAACTTTCTGAGGGATTATAAGGCCAAAAAAAAAAAAGTCTCCGGTTTCTGGTATGGAGCTTGCCCAAAAAGTGGTGCGGCGACGCGGATTGTTTTTTTTTTACCTGACTTTTTTGCTTCAAATATCGGCTGATGACTGCAAATGGTGCCCGACTAAAGGCTGATGACTGCAAATGGTGCCCGACTAAACTTAGTGCAAATATATGGGAGTCCAGAGAGGCCACATAAAGCTTATTCTCGATCATAACCCCATCTAAAAACACGTTAAAATTGTGCAGCAGCAGGATTCCAGTCAAACCAGTGAGTTTGGCGGTTTTGAGACATCATCTTTCATTGAAAAAAAAACATTTTCATTTTGCCGACGCGCATGGCTACGGCGACGCGCGCGCATACCAGAAACCGGAGACATTTTTTTTTGGCCTAAGGGTGCACGTGCCTCAAGTGGTCGTCCAGGACAATGCGGACAGGACAATGATTTGGCCGACAAAACACCCGGCCCCAAAATCTCCGCCGGAGGTACTTCGTACTTGACAATGATATATATAGATATAGATTCGGGAACAGGTGTTTTGGAAATGTTTGAAAAGATTCGTCGCTCCATACCATTTTTTCCCCGTCTGAATAGATCGTTACCAATCCATACAAACAACACATGAACATAAGCTGGCATAACATCGTTTTAATCAATCAAAATCTAGCCGTTTTAAAAACAGGTGCCTCCTTGCTAGAACCTGACCAGAGGACGTGACTCAAAAGCCCCCGTGGTAAGTACAGATCTTAGACTCACAGTTAGTCTGCAGTGCAGTGCTGTGTACCATCACAAGTCCGGTTAGGCCTATAAGTATATCACCATTATCAGGGTATGAGCAATAAAAAAAGGAATACTTTTGTCACAGTTCATTTGAATAGCTTATGACTTGACTGGACAAAGGAGGACTTGTGAAGGTTACATCTCTCACGAGTCAGCTGCCTAACTCTACCGAACAAGGAATCTCCCTATGGTTGCATAATGTACCAAGGTGTTTGCTATGGCTGATGGCAATAGCATGCGCACGCGCCAATGGGTGCGACTGAATCCACCAAACACACACGATACAGTCGGCTGTTCAAGGTCAAGTCATTCGAACGAAGCCCAACTCACACTTTGGATTCTTTCCTCCCCTGGCTCCAGGGATATGCAGCATCCCGCACCGGGATTCCGCCCTGATAGGCCGGTAGGAACTGGCACATGGCCACCTCCATCAGATCCCCCTTGGTGCAACTTGGATGATCCTGGTTGCAGAACCAGGGTTTGCAATTCCCGATAACACAGAGATTTGCACCTGCAGGAATATTTATATACACAGTTTTCAGAGGGACTCGGCTGTCAAAATCTTGGATCCATGCATGAGCACCTTTGTGCAAGAAGGATCGACCTACCTCCTCGGCGGTGGGAAACGAAGGGTAATAAATATTACATGTCTATGCTAAGGCCACACAGAGTCCTCTTTTTATTCCATTAATACTTCTTTTGTAAAGAGCAGGAGTCAACTTATGGTAACTCAGGCTTACCAGATTTGAAGACAGTGCTGAGTAGATTCGTGTCTTCGCTCTTTCCAAGAATTTCTTTCTTCAGGTTGACGCGTCTACCGGAGCAAGGAGGTACTCGCCTAAATCCGAGGAGTCTTAAAAATCAGAGAGGACATCGATGAAAGGAATCAAATCCATAAGAGAACACAAACTTATTCGAATGGTAATATTACTGTTGATTGAGATTTCCACTCAATGAGTTGAGACGATATGAACGTTGTGGAAAAGTACATTAACGGCGAGAAAGAACAGGGTTGTCGTGTGGGACCGTTTTGGTGCCGTGTTGCCATCGATTCGCGATCCGGTGGGCATCATAGAGCGCGATCGACCTCAGTTGACACGTGTGACGGTCACTAAAAATATAGACCTATTTTGATATTCTCATGTGTCTGGTTGGTAGGGGATGAAGCGCCCTCTTTGGTACGTACACAGAGCCAATGAAGATTATCACTGGCTTGCAAAGCAATGGGCTCAGAATACATGGTTTATGATTTTGGTCATGCAGACCCTAACCATAGTGTACAAGTTCTGTACATGTATAAGCATTATATACTCTCCAGATATAAGTCTGTGACAGCTTCCCACATTCTCCTGAACATGTTCAAGGCATTGCTGAGCAACTTTGGTCGAGATTACAGTTGACGCAACATTGTACAATAGAGTTTTCGTTTTCCGCTCTTTTATGACTCTTCTTTTAAGTGTACGGTTTTAAATTTAATGAAACTCATGCTCACACCATGCATAATCTAAAGTAATGACATAATTTTCTCCTTCCTAAGGGTTGGGGAGGGGATTTTGACAGTGGTAGAAAAAAACATATACCTATCAAGGTGAAAGGAAGCAATCTCTGCATTATGTCTCTCAGGATCCAGCCAGAAAGGCTCCTCCCTAGTGTATTTGTACACATGGTCCCTTGACAATCTTGAAAAAAAAAATAAAAAATAAAAACACGATTAAATGGCAAAATTGTCACACGATTTTTGAAAGCATCTAAAAAGCAATCATTTGTAACCGTCGTCGTTCTGCCTTTTGTTAAAAACTACATGAGTATGCCCTAGGATATCAGAAATGTTGCCTTTTTGTGGCTACGTGCAGACTTGAACAGTGGGCAGCTATACCTCATAGGCTTGGCGATGACTCGGTTACCGTCGGCAAGTCTTAAGTCGAGCTTGAGCTGCGTCCCTCCTCTAAACTGAGATGCGTTGACAATCTCAACAGTAGCCAGGTCACGTAGGAGGTCATCCATGTACGGTGCGTCCTCGCTGTACAGCGCATCTTGACTGATATCACGGTGAAACTGCTGCCATGGGTGGCCTTTCCTTTGTGTGTATATAATAGAAGAATATGTTGGTGAATTTCTCAACTCTTGTTTATGGTATATCTGCAGAATAACGCCCGTTTTTATCGCGATACTTATGAGCACAGAATTTGCCAATGAGATTAGTTTTTCCATTAAAAAATGAAAAGAAGGTAATAGTACCTGTCATTGATAGCTGCAGCGATTATTTTAGTACACCGGTAAAAACAGTGTGCTAAACTTAAAACTGACTCATTGTACAAGCACTGTATATGAGGGGCTGATCCAGACTTGGATCAAGAGGTGGGGAGGGGTCCCCAGCCTGTAGATCCGCCACTAATAACCAAGCGTTAACTACGATCATGAGCAACTTCAAGATCTTTTCAGTCGATGTTTCCGGAGACAGCGTCATGATGCTGGGCGACAGCAAGTGGAAATCAAACAAACCCGAATCAATAGTCCCCTCTCGTGATACAGACAGATCAATGACTTACTTGTTGAAGTCAGGTCGGATTGATTACAGGTTGTTCTTCGGTTATTTTGATAAAAGCATCAACAGACAAACCGATCGTTTTTGTTTTCTGAATAAAAATGCATGCCAACATTTGCAAGAAAAGGTAGGCTTGATCACTGCCGCTGGAACCATCTTTTGCCAGGGGGTGCTGGAATTTCCAAAGAACCGTCCGGACAAAATTAATGCAAAAGCGGAGCGCAAAGCCCTTACGGCGTGGCTTAATTTGGAATATGGATGCTCTGTAGTGCAATCTGAGGCGTTTCCTGGCCACTTTCATTTGACTTTATAGCAAAAGTTTTTTTGAGATTATTAAGACAATTTATTTCATTATTTTGTTTAGAATATACTGTTGCTCGTAAAACGTTTAACTATACTGAAAAGTGGAGAACCCTGTATTTTTATCTCCATATTTGGTTCCATTTGATTCTGGAAAAAGAATTGTATCATTATGCATGACATCGCATATAAATATTATTGTTGCAAGGTTGCTTTCTTACATTTAGTAAATACCTTCGTGTATGTTTTGTTTTATTTTCTGAGCCCTTACGGCGTGGGGCCACAGGGCCAGGGGCCCGCTTTAAGGCCTCGGAAAATGTTGGATTCTGGATGCACTGTGATGAAATATACTTAAGTATACTGAAACTTATAAAACCCGAAAGGATATTTTGGTTCAAGTTAAAACAAATGGTTCCACTGGAAGCGGATGAATTTCTGTTCACAAAAATATTTACATAGTTCTAACTCACGAAACGATGTAGCTCTCGATATATTTGCAGTGTTATTTGTTTGTTACAGGGAATGGCAAATATAAAAGACTAAAAGACCAAATGCATCTTTATGATCGGTAGATGGCAAGTTTGGGGCTAGGCAAGGATTTATCGGTCTACTGAGTTTTTATGAGGAAAAACTTGCAGAGGGTAAAACATGAATAGATTTTTATTAAAACGAAACTACACTGGAACTGCCGTAAACCATGACTAGTTTCAATGAAAGCCCGTCCCACTCCTATTAGGTGGGGATGTGTGTGAACCTTGCTTTTTGTTAATGTTGCAAGTACAGAATGCTAGCAACGTCAATGAAACTTTTAAATGAAAAGAAAAACCTTCAGGGGAAGGGTATGAACATTTGCCCCAATTGAAAGATCGAATAAAAAAAATCCTGACAAGCAAAATCAACTTTGCCACCATTGTCATGGCCGAAGTTATTGCTTTCGGGTCAAAGCTTCCATCATGGCGGATATATCATAGACATGTCACGATTTTAGATACCTTGAGAGAAATATCGATTCTGCACTGCCTGGAGATTAAGAAAATGCCTCCTCTGGATATTTTACAGTGTTTGTGCTAGACATTCGAAGCGCCGCGCTTAGCCGCGGCAAAACTAGAAACGAACAAAACGAAGGATATTTTGTAGAGCAAGCATAATGTATAGCGTAGCGGCGCAATTTCATCGTCGTAGAATACTGCTGGCTGGTACACATTTTTGCCTGGGAGTAGGGGGTGCTGAAGCATATTCCAGCACCCCATCCAAAATGTTGGGGCTGCTGCAGCACCCATGTACAGCACCCCCCGTTCCCGCGGGCTTGGGCTTGATGCGGGGATTCATTTGGCCTGCAAAAGGTCTGCATATTCCTTTATCCTGGGCCACAATTTAAGCAAAAGGACTTTTTAACAATTCCAAAGCCAGGAAAGACATGAAGACATTCAACATTTACACATTTGAATCACTGCATATATATGCAGGATGAATGTTCAGACGTCAATGAGCATATTAATATTTTCAGCGACACGACTCATTTTTGGATGTTCTATCAACTAACAATTGAAAAAATATAAATATATAAAACCTCCCCACTGATTTACTTTTATACTGACCCTATGACATCTTGATCATCCCAACCTCTCTTGAGCTCAGATCTCGGTTTCTCTGCCTTCTTCGTCGGTCTGGTATTCTTGGTATCGTTGGACGCACGCTTAGCCTCCTCGATATTTCGTGCTCGTCCTATCTGATTTATCTCCGGGAGTACTCCCCTTCTAATATCAGTGCCCAAACCCCAACCATTCAGTTCCACAGACTGTGTGAACAAGTGGAAAGCATGTAGAACAACAACAGCCCACAGCGCACACAAAATCAGAATTATTTTCGTTATAAATCGCATGATGAATGAGAATGTGATGATGGCTTTCCTCTAAAAAGGACTCATGAAGCAATCTTTGCAAAACATGAATGAGCCGACATCTGTTTTAAAGTTGTGCGTGTAGTTCGATCTCGCTGTTTTTGGATATTACAAGTGGATATCTGCATACACAGATGTCTGCAAACCCCATTCCCTGTCCTCTTCCCTTTCACGTGCTAGTTCTGCTCTCCTTCACGACCTAACGAGTACTATATAGCTTTAGATCCAATGTACTTTTTTGTATTTCCATATTCTGTCCACACATCAATGAACTGAGAAACTGTAATGTTTTTATGTGTGTGCGTGCATAATCTGTTTCATGGAACACTGAGCATTTCCCAGGCAACATTCCCATTGAGTAGGGTTAAAGGTAGAGTCCATCATTTGTAATTTGTGCATTTTGTTCGTTTGAAGCAACAAATAAGTTCAAAATCTTATGAAGGATACTGAGCAACTAACCTGATGAAGTTTCAGCTAAGCTTCAGCTGTACATTCTGAGAAAAACAGCATTCTAAGATCTCAATTTCAAATCAAAAGTTGCTGAATCATGTTTTTGAATTGTTTTGAATTGCAACTATACGCGACGTCGCGCACTCATCCGACGAATTATAACAACCGCGCGCGCGTGTGCGTCGTTCGAATACTTGTGCGCGCTGCGCTGAATAACAAAACGAACTACTATTTAAATTTTCCTACGGTGCTTCTTAAGAATCACCGTTGGAAATGCCTTCTTTCGTTGATTACTTCAAAATGACAGCTTCCCAGAAAGAATAATTTCACAGGGAGAGTCTCCTTACTATCTTTCAACCAAGTTAGTTTTTCAACAATAATTACGCCAGTTACTTTTCGGATGGCTGCAAATGATGGACTCTACCTTTAATACATTTTATCGGAATTTTATTATTAGGCATTGTAGTTATTGATTTCAATTAACGCCATTTTAATGGACCCATTGCTTTCACGGCACTGTCGGGAAATTAGCTTTTTTTTAAATGAATCTAATTTTAGAGTGGAAATTTACTCCAGTCGATTGACATATTAATGGTGAGAATGTGCATATTTTAATTGCTGTTTGTAATATACTGTCATTGCTGCTGTAATCTGCAGGGGAACATTTACTCACGTACGAGCAGGAATCATCTGTCAGCTGGCCTAAATCGGAAAAAATCGTGAAAAAAATCCAATATGTTGAAAAGCACGGGAAGCCAACTCTAATGTACTTGCAGAACCCAAGACACCTATAAATGTAAAGTGACGTCAAGAATTGAACATAATACTTTCACGTCTTTAGATGTAAGCATCAGACTTATAGCCGAGAAGGTCATATACGGATGTGCAGGCAAATGATACAATTAATTTCTCTCAAAAAGGAATTTACAAACATGCAAATTATGCAACTGACTACCAAATTATGCAAACAATTTATTTACATATACACTGACCCGATGACTTCTTGGTCATCCTATATTTTCTTAGACTTCGATCTTCTTTTGGTTCTTGACCTTTTCGATTTCTTGGTCGCCATCTGGCGTGTCTCATACTTCATCTCCTCGGGCGGCATCCCGGGGCTCTGTGCATCCGCCACCGTTGACTCTTCTTTTTGATCCTTCCAATCACTCATGTACTTTTGGAACACAAAACACGTTTTAAACTTTTGTCCACGGATCACATTGAAGGTACGTGATATTTCAGTAAAAATGAAATCATGTCGTTTCCTGAAAATCATAAGTGTCAGTTATCATGGTTGTGAGAGTGTTCTGATCAGTGTTTTTTTTTTGATATTTGAATAGTTTTCGTTTTGCCGAAACATCACTTACCTTTTATTGTCATCCGTGGACAAGGTTTAAAAAAATGTGTTTGTGTTCAAAATCCATTACTGCAAACGTACATGAGTGATTTGAATGATTCTTTAACTAAAAGAAAGCCTATTAATTGGGCTTTAATATCCTAGATCTTGAACGCGCTACATGCATAACTTCTTTAAAAATACAATAGGGGGTGTCATTATTTTGTTGTACTCACCCTGTATTATACAAAGCAGAGAGAAGACTGGATAGTGACAGAACACGTATAAGGGGAAAATCTGAAGATGAATAACGCGCATTTTGAAGTCCGAGACTAAAGCCACCTATATGACAAGGGTTCAACGAACCCTCACATTCTCTGCAATTTAGTAGTGTGAAATAAAAGCCCATAATGACTCGGGCAAAATGTTGGAAGAATCCCATTTCAAATTTGGCCACGTTACTCTAACTATATATATATAGACACACCGCCTGCCTGCCGTGTTTGGTGTCTGCGAGCTGTGGCAAATATAGGCCAGCTGACAAATGATTCCTGCTCGTACGTGAGTCAAATGTTTGTGTTCAAAAATCCATAACTGCAAACGTACATGAGTGATTTGAATGATTCTTTAACTAAAAGAAAGCCTATTAGGCCCCCCAAAAAAGTCTCCGGTTTCTGGTATGCGCGCGCGTCGCCGTAGCCATGCGCGTTGGCAAAATGAAAAAGTTTTTTTTTCAATAAACGATGATGTCTCAAAACCGCCAAACTCACTGGTTTGACTGGAATCCTGCTGCTGCAGAGTTTTAACGTGTTTTTAGATGGGGTTATGATCGAGAATAAGCTTTATGTGGCCTCTCTGGACTCCCATATATTTGCACTAAGTTTAGTCGGGCACCATTTGCAGTCATCAGCCGACATTTGAAGCAAAAAAAAAAAAAAGGTAAAAAAAAAAGCCGCGTCGCCGCACCACTTTTTGGGCAAGCTCCATACCAGAAACCGGAGACTTTTTTTTGGCCTTAATTGGGCTTAAGTATCCTAGATCTTGAACGCGCTACATGCAGAAGCCCTGCAGATTATAGCAGCAATGTCAGTATATTACTAACAGCAATTAAAATATGCACATTCTCACCATTAATATGTCAATCGACTGGCTAACTTCCCGACAGTGCCGTGAAAGCAATGGGTCCATTAAAATGGCGTAAATTGAAATCAACTACAATGCCTAATAATAAAATTCAGACAAAATGTATTAACCCTATTCAATGGAAATGTTGCCTGGGAAATGCTCAGAGTTCCATGAAACAGATTATGCACGCACACACACACCCACACACGCATGATTGTTTACATTACATACCAAATGTGGACATTGCCTTGCTTTCGTGTAGTTAAGAAAAAGCTCTGAAAAAAAAACCCTCATTTTACTCTCACTGTGAAAACACTTTCATCCCAATTTTTTTCTATGATTCCCTTTAGTGTTTCTCTTCATTTTGTCACACATAAACCAATCCCCAAAATGCCTCTAAATGTGTTTTCCAGAAATGGGGAAACACTGTGTGGACTTGCCCACGTCCACACAGCGTCGCCTCTACCTGGTTTATGTGGACCTCTTTTGTTCGGAAGTCCACACAGTGAATGTAATGCCTATCCACAGTTTCTCACTTCATTGATGTGTGGACAGGTTGTGGAAGTACAAAAATGGACAAAAAATCGTATGGAGATTTGGATCTTGTGAAGGGTATCATGCAAGCGACTTTTCTTAAAAAGGAGAGAAAGCTATAAAGTACTCGCGTGGTCGTGAAGGAGAGCACAATTAACACGTGAAAGGGAAAAGGACAGGGAATGGGGTCTGTAGACATCTGTGTATGCAGATATCCACTTGTAATATAACAAAAAAAAATCCAGCTACACGCACAACTTTAAAACAGCTGTTGGCTCATTCATATTTTGCAGAGATTGCTTCATGAGTCCTTTTATAGAGGAAAGCCATCACATTATCATTCATCATGCGATTTAAAACGAAAATAATTCTCATTTTGTGTACGCTGTGGGTCGTTGTTGTTCTACATGCTTTCCACTTGTTCACACAGTCTGTGGAACTAAATGGATGGGGTTTTGGCACTGGTCATAGAAGGGGAGTACTCCCAGAGATAAATCAGATAGGACGAGCACGAAATATCGAAGGAAAGGTGTCCATAGCGCGGAGTCCCTGTATTCCAGAGGAGGCTAAGCGTGCGTCCAATGCTACCAAGAATACCAGACCGACGAAGAAGGCAGAGAAACCGAGATCTGAGCTCAAGAGAGATTGGGATGATCAAGATGTAATAGGGTCAGTATGAAAGTAAATCAGTGGGGAGGTTTTATATATTTATATTTTTTCAATTGCTAGTTGATAGAACATCCAAAAATGAGTCGTGTCGCTGAAAATATTAATATGCTCATTGATGTCTGAACATTCATCCTGGATATATAATGCAGTGATTCAAAGGTGTAAATGTTGAAGGTTTCATGTCTTTCCTGGCTTTGGAATTGTTAAAAAGTCCTTTTGCTTAAATTGTGGCCCAGGATAAAGGAATATGCATACCTTTTGTAGGCCAAATGAATCCCAGCACCCCCAACTTTTTGGATGGGGGTGCTGGAATATGCTAGAGCACCCCTTATTCTCAGGCAAAAATGTGTTCCATGCAGCCAGCAGTGTTCTACGACGATGAAATTGCGCCGTTGCGCTATACATTATGCTTGCTCTACAAAATCTCCTCCGTTTTGTTTCTAGTTTTGTTTCTAGTTTTGCCGCGGCTAAGCGCGGCGCTTCGAACGTCTAGAACAAACACTGTAAAATATCCAGAGGAGGCATTTTCTTAATCTCCAGGCAGTGCAGAATCGATGTTTCTCTCAAGGTATCTAAAATCGTGACATGTCTATGATATTTCCGCCATGATGGAAGCTTTGACCCGAAAGCAATAACCTCGGCCATGACAATGGTGGCATAGTTGATTATGCTCGCCAGGATTTGTTTCATTCGATCTTTCAATAGGGGCAAATGTTCATACCTTTCCCCTGAAGGTTTTTCTTTTCATATAAAAGTTTCATTGACGTTGCTAGCATTCTGTACTCAACATTAACAAAAAGCAAGGTTCACACACATCCCCAACCTAATAGGAGTGGGACGGGCTTTCATTGAAACTAGTCATGATTTACGGCAGTTCCAGTGTAGTTTTGTTTAAATAAAACAAATATTCACCTTTTACCCTTTGCAAGTTTTCCTCATAAAAACTCAGTAGACCGATAAATCCTTGCCTAGCCCCAAACTTGCCATCTGCCGATCATGAACATAAAAGATGCATAGTCTTTTATATTTGCCAGTCCCTGTAACAAGCAAATAACACTGCAAATATATCGAGAGCTACATCGTTTCGTGAGTTAGAACTATGTGAATATTTTTATGAACAGAAATTCATCCGCTTCCAGTGGAACCATTTGTTTTAACTTGAACCAAATATCCTTTCGGGTTATATAAGTTTCAGTATGCCTCAGTATATTTCATCACAGTGCATCCAGAATCCAACATTTTCCGAGGCCTTAAAGCGGGCCCCTGGCCCTGTGGCCCCACGCCGTAAGGGCTCAGAAAATAAAACAAAACATACACGAAGGTATTTACTAAATGTAAGAAAGCAACCTTGCAACAATAATATTTATATGCGATGTCATGCATAATGATACAATTCTTTTTCCAGAATCAAATGGAACCAAATATGGAGATAAAAATACAGGGTTCTCCACTTTTCAGTATAGTTAAACGTTTTACGAGCAACACTATATTCTAAACAAAATAATGAAATAGATTGTCTTTATAATCTCAAAAAAACTTTTGCTAAAAAAGTCAAATGAAAGTGGCCAGGAAACGCCTCAGATTGCACCACAGAGCATCCATATTCCAAATTAAGCCACGCCGTTAAAGGGCTTTGCGCTCCGCTTTTGCACTAGTTTTGTCCGGACGGTCCTTTAGAAATTCCAGCACCCCCTGGCAAAAGTTTGTTCCAGCGGCAGTGATCAAACCTACCTTTTTTCCCTGGAAATGTTGGCATGCATTTTTATTCAGAAAACAGAAACGATGATTAGTCTGTTGATGCTCTTATTCAAAAATACCGAAGAACAACCTGTTATCTATCCGACCTGACTTGCACAAGTAAGTTATTGATCTGTCTGTATCACGAGAGGGAACTATTGATTCGGGTTTGTTTGATTTCCACTTGCTGTCGCCCAGCATGACGTTGTCTCCGGAAACATCGACTGAAAAAGATCTTGAAGTTGTTCATGATTGTAGTTAATTTTAGGTTATAGTACATGAAGGATTAGAATTGACTTTACACTGTAAAAAAATAATTCTGTATAATATTACATGAAAAAGTTATGACAACAGCGTGGCAATACCTTATAGTTTTTTCATCAAGTGTTGCAAAATGATTGTACAAGAATGTTGTAAAATTATTTAACAGTAAATCTGTACAATAAGTTTATATGTAAATTGTTATTTTAACAGAAAAAAATAAGTTGCATTTATAATTCTGTTAATCGGGTTTCCAACCAGCTAATTAAATGTAAAAATACCATCAACCAGCTAATGTAAGGCTCAACAACTTGCTCAGATTTCAACAGATAATGCAATTCGATATGAGGTTTTGCCTTTCACCGACGTACGTATACACAATGTATACTCAAGTGTGTAACACCCCCCCCCCCCTCGAGTGAAAGTGAGAAAAACTCACTCGGGTGGGACTCGAACCCACGACCTCCTGCTTTCTAGTAAATAGTTTCATTGCGGTACCCGCTGCTATATCAGATTTTAACCAGATCCGATCCTAGCCTTTCGCCAGCGGCCATCGTGGCTTAAAGCGGCGGAGCTGCATCACGACCACAATATTACTGTATTCACAAACTACAATGGTCAGTGTGGTCTACATCAAAATGATCTGTTTCAATTAAATATTGGGTTTTGCCCTTCACCAACGTATTTTATAAATGTCGTATACACAGTTTTGCCCTCGAGTGCTTTGAGAAAAAAATCACTCGGGTGTGGGACTCCAACCCACGACCTCCTGCGTACCACTCGACTACCATGCAAGCAAGGGCGGATCAAGGGGAGGGGGCGGGGGGCTAACCCCCCCCCCCAAGAAAAAGAAACCAAAAGATTTGGTTAAAGTGGTCAGAAATAGCCTCAGATCGCACCACAGAGCATCTAGGATCCAAAAAATTTCGGGCCCCGAACCCCACGCCGTCATTTTTGGGCCCAAACAATTGTGTTCTGGATCCGCCCTTGCTGCCAAGCTTGCCGGGGTCGGCTGGATGGTGATTTTTTTCACAATACTCGGGCAAACAGTGAGTATACATGTTCAGTGCAAATACGGCGGTGAAGGGCAGAACCCATACTGAATTTACATCATCCTGATGCAAATTCCATCTTGTGAATAGATCTGTTTTAAAATGAAACATACTCGTATATTTACAGAACACGTTACTCTGCAGTGCTAATTTTACAACAAAATGTTGTATAAATTAACCAGATTCTGTCAAAAAAGGGAAATTTACTTTAAAACTGTAATGTCAACATCAAAACTGCTGTAAAAATGAAGTACAGGGCAAAGATTCTCTGTACAATTACAGTTTTTGTCACAGTGTACGGTCAGGTGAAAGTCAGGTCAAGCCGCACAGCCTGAATGAACTTGTACGCCTAACCTTTTATTTCATAGAGGCGCAACATTAGTGGTGGATCTACAGGGACCCCACCCCCACCTTCCCCCCCCCCCACCTTCCCCCCCCCCCACCCCCACCTCTTGGTCCAAATCTGGATCAGCCCCTGTATATATATACAGTTCTTGTACAATGTGTCAGTTTTAAGTTTAGCACACTGTTTTTACCGGTGTACTAAAATAATCGCTGCAGCTACCAACAATGACAGGTACTATTACCTTCTTTTCATTTTCAACGGAAAAACAAATCTCATTGGCAAATTCTGTGCTCATAAGTATCTCGATAAAAACGGGCGCTATTCTGCAGATATACCATAAACAAGAGTTGAGAAATTCACCAACATATTCTTCTATTATATACACACAAAGGAAAGGCCACCCATGGCAGCAGTTTCACCGTGATATCAGTCAAGATGCGCTGTACAGCGAGGACGCACCGTACATGGATGACCTCATACGTGACCTGGCTACTGTTAAGATTGTCAACGCGTCTCAGTTCAGAGGAGGGACGCAGCTCAAGCTCGACTTAAGACTTGCCGACGGTAACCGAGTCATCGCCAAGCCTATGAGGTATAGCTGCCCACTGTTCGAGTCTGCATGTAGCCACAAAAAAGGCAACATTTCTGATGCCCTAGGGCATACTCATGTAGTTTTTAACAAAAGGCAGAACGACGACGGTTACAAATGATTGCTTTTTAGATGTTTTCAAAAATCGTGTGCCAATTTTGCCATTTAATTTTCTTTTTGATTTTTTAAAAAGATTGTCAAGGGACCATGTGTACAAGTACACTAGGGAGGAGCCTTTCTGGCTGGAACCTGAGAGACATTATGCAGAGATTGCTGCCTTTCACCTTGATAGGTATATGTTTTTTTCTTACCCTGCCAAAATCCCCTCTCCGCCCCTTAGGAAGGAGACAATTATGTCATTACTTTAGATTATGCATGGTGTGGGCATGATTTGCATTAAATTTAAAACCGTACACTTAAATGAAGAGTCATAAAAGAGCGGAAAACGAAAACTCTATTGTACAATGTTGCGTCAACTGTAATCTCGACCAAAGTTGCTTAGCAATGCCTTGAACATGTTCAGGAGAATGTGGGAAGCTGTCACAGACCTACATCTGGAGAGCATATAATGCTTATATGCAGAGCTTGCACACTATGGTCAGGGTTTGGCCAAAATCATAAACCATGTACAATGTATTCTGAGCGCAATGCTTTGCAAGCCAGTGACTAATCTTCATTGGCTGTGTGTACGTACCGAAGAGGGCCCCTTACCCCCTACCAACCAGGCACATGAGAATATAAAAATAAGTGTATATTTCCATGACTGTCACACACGTCAATAGGTCGATTGCGCTCTGTGATGCCCGCCGGTTCGCGAATCGATGGCAACACGGCACCAAAACGGTCCCACACCGACAACCCCTGGGTTTTTTTTTTCGCCGTTAGGCCAAAAAAAAAATAAGTCGGTCTCTGGTCAGCGCGCGCGTCGATTTTAATCATGCGCGTCGATCTTTTTTTTTTCCAAAATGTTCCGCGGTAGCTCCAACAGCGCCCTCTATTTCCGCACCTCAAATTTTTTTACCAAAGAGCACCAAGGAATGGGAAATTGCACCAAGGCAAATGATCGAAAGCACCAAGGCAAATTATGGAGGACACCAATGTACATGAGGACACCAAAAAAGCAAAATAGTACCCCACCTTGTCTCTACAATCCAAGCTTGAAGAAAGAAAAAAAAAAGCAAAAAAAAAAAAAAAGCCGCGTGGCCGCGTCAATTCCGGAACTTTGGTCTGACCAGAGACCGAATATTTTTTTTTTTTGGCCTTAATGTAATTTCCACAACGTTCATATCGTCTCAACTCATTGAGTGGAAATCTCAATCAACAGTAATATTACCATTCGAATAAGTTTGTGTTCTCTTATGGATTTGATTCCGTTCACCGATGTCCTCTCTGTTTTTTAAGACTCCTCGGATTTAGGCGAGTACCTCCTTGCTCCGGTAGACGCGTCAACCTGAAGAAAGAAATTCTTGGAAAGAGCGAAGACACAAATCTACTCAGCACTGTCTTCAAATCTGGTAAGCCTGAGTTACCATAAGTTGACTCCTGTTCTTTAAAAAAGAAGGATAAATGGAATAAAAAGAGGACTCTGTGTGGCCTTAGCATAGATATGTAATATTTATTACAGTGTGGGCATTAGTTCGAGTGAAGAGTACTGCTTCATGCGCGCATACTTTAAGGAATCAATGCACACTGTATACCAGGGAATGCCCTTCGTTTCCCACTGCCGAGGAGGTACATGTAGGTACAAAGGTGCTCATGCATGGATCCTAGATTTTGACTGCCAAGTCCCTCTGAAAACTATGTGTATAAATATTCCTGCAGGTGGCAATCTCTGTGTTATCGGGAGTTGCAAACCCTGGTTCTGCAACCAGGACCATCCAAGTTGCACCAAGGGGGATCTGATGGAGGTGGCCATGTGCCAGTTCCTACCGACCTATCAGGGCGGAATCCCGGTGCGGGAGGTTGCATATCCCTGGAGCCAGGGGATAAAAGAATCCAAGGTGTGAGTTGGGCTTCCTTCGAATGTCATGGATTCAATGACACTAAAAAAGGCAGCTGAGCCTGACTCGTGAGAGACGTAACCATCACAGTCTTCCTTCATCAAGTCAAGTCACAAGCTATTCAAAATGAAAGTGACAAAATTATTTTATTACATTGTTCATCCCCTGTTACTTATAACCGGACTTGTGATGGCAAACAGCACTGGAGACTAACTGTGAGTCTAAGATCTGCACCTGAGTTGTTGTTGTTGTTGTTGCTGTTAATGTAATGGCACGTTCGGCAAACTAGTGCCCTTTGTGCCATAAGCAATACTTCTGCGTTACAGAACAGTAGGCTAATCAGCAAAAAAAGACACTTCGTGAGAGCTGCGAGAGATAAAAAGAAAGAAATGTCAAAAAACAACCAAGCAGTGACAGGATTCCTCCATGGTTCGGTAAAGCATGGAGGCAGGAGTGGGGGGAGCGCCAATGATCCGCCGAACATGCAGTGTCGCTGGTGCCCTGCAAGGCCGGACCGTTCACCATGCAATTTAAGGGCCCGGGCCCCGCCGGGTTCGTCGCAGGTCCGCAACGCCTTCAGGTGATGAGGGCAACACTGTGTCCAGCCAACCATCGACGCTCCCCTCTCCCGCACATGCGCAAAATCTACAATATCAAGGAGGTGTGGCTAAGCGGAATAGATTAGAGTTGTAATGGAGGCGTGGCAAAAATCTGCACCTGAGGCTTACCACGGGGGCTTTTGAGTCACGTCCTCTGGTCAGGTTCTAGCAAGGAGGCACCTGTTTTTAAAACGGCTAGATTTTGACTGTTTAAAACGATGTAATGTCAGAATAAGTAATGATCGTATAGTTATGTGCATGTGTTGTTTGTGTGGATAGTAACGATCTATTCAGACGGCCAAAAACTGGCATGGGGCGACGAATCTTTTCAAGCATTTCCAAAACACCTGTTGCCGAATCTATATGCGGCCTACGGTGATTATCATTGTCATGACTGTACGAAGTACCTCCGGCGGGGATTTTTTTTTGGGCGGGGCGTTTTGTCGGCCAAATCATTGTCCTGTCCGCATTGTCCTGGACCCTCACTTGAGGCAGGTGCCCCCTTGTACTCCCACTCAGAATTTTGGGACGGCAAAAATGAGGGTTTAATTTGGTTAAAAACGGAATAACATCCCACTCCAGCGGATCCCCTAAAAACTGGTCCCGAGTCACGCCACTGAATGCGCAAGTCCTATACATGTATACGATGTGTGACAAAAGCCTTAAACCAAGACGATTTGTGGAATGCTGCGTTTAACGCGGAATAGTTCATTGTATTCACGAAAATATGTCAACCAAGCAAGCTGTCAAAATGATTGTTTGCTGTGTATTGTTTGAATAGTAGACTTTTCTCATAACCTAAGCAGTTTTCTGTTGCCTATTATACTGAAAGAAAACGATTAACTTATTGTGATAAGTATATGAAAGTAGTCTTGACAATTACAAAATAAATACGCACTTTTGTTCTTATCGCAGGTGGAAAGGTAAAAACATTTGCTTGGATATTTTGAAGGTTAGTTTTACTTGTACAGGCATCATGTTTTGACTCATACACCCACACGACGAATACATCATTATTCTGGCTTGCAATCAGTTTGGTATAAAGATTATGGGAAGAAAAGTACAGACAGGGTCCGTTCCATGGAATGATGGGCGAAACTATAGGGAGACGGTTCAAAACAAGTTCTTTGTATACGCATGGGTTTTACTTGAGTCTTGTAACAAGCCTTCATTTCGTCACTGACACCACGAAGTAACACTCCACGTGTTAAACCATATTTTTTCGATTTTCAGTTTGTTACATATTTAAACATTATTCATCAAGGCCTACCATTGCACGAAGTTTCAAAGCTTCAAGAGCTTTACTTTAATAATTACGCTAAGCATCCATGGCAACTTTTGCGCGAAAGTGACAATTTTCGTTTTCACGAAGCAACACTCAAGTTTGTGTATTTCTCCTTTCCTTTGATCTAAGGATCCTGCCCGGCTGGATGGCAGATACTTACTAGACCTCATAGAGCAGGGGATATTCGACTTCTTTCTTCGTAAGGAACTTTGCTATTTTTTTTTTACATTGGCTATCATGCAGTTGACCAAGAGTCAGAATCACCTTTAGTCTTACTTGCTCTGCACTGCTTGTACAGCATTTGAAATGAAGGTGGTATAAAAGTAGCTAAATAATGTGGGTTCCCGACCTTAACAAGCTCGTCATGGCAAAGGTTCAAATAATCTCTCTTCACCCCATCCCACCCCAGCCCCTCCCCTCCTATTCTTACGGCCCTGTTTGTACACATGTAATTCATTACAAATTGTACATGTATATGCTTTGCACATAATAACGTACAGTTAGGCAATAAAATGAAACGATCTCCGGTTGAGGCCGTTTTAGCTGAGAAAGCGATTAATAAGTTGCTTCATCTGTATCTCACCTGCAGGAAATTACGACAGGCATCATTACTCCCAACTTCGCAAATACCGGAAACTAGGCTGCGTACTACACGTTGATAATGGAAAGGGTTTTGGTAATCCACTCGTAGATGATGACACATTCCTGGCACCCGTCTACCAGTGCTGCAAGTAAGTTTTATGATAGCATGCTCCTGTTTCGGACACTCAAATCGCCTACTAGTAAACCAAGGACAATGTAATACCGAAAAAGTAATAACGACGCGAAGATCTGCCTACCTACAACCTATTACTTCTAGATTTTAGTTGGGCTGGCTTGAATGCAGTCCTTATCAGCGGTCATTTTTTACATTTTTTTGTGAATGCTAATGAGTCCTTCGAGTTTATTTTAAAAATTGTATACCCAAAAGACAGTATATGTATTTAAGTTTCAGTTTTCACCCAATAACCGCCACAAAATTATTTCATAAGTTTTCGTCTTTGTACGAGTGCTCCGAGTTCCACTTGTCCACATGTATTTTAGATTTTCGGCAGTGAGTGGTCCATTTTTGGCGCGATATCTCTGTTTCGCGTCAGGTGATTTTTCAGTTTAGCTGAGATGCTATATAGTAACAATTTTACACAGGTCCTTTTGAGGGTAATTTTCTTAATAAATGAATGTACCAAAAGTAATTGCAAATTTTAAATTTGTGCACGTTAATTTTCTATTGAAGGGTTCCGGAAGCTCGCCACCACGGGTGAACTTTCAGGCTCTGTATTATCTTCAAAAGAATGCGAAGCAACTTTAAGGATGGTAGAAGAGCAATTATTCATGCGTTGTTGAATTCAAATGATGTTTTCTTAACTGGCAGGCTGAGGCGATCCACATACTTCCGTTTGAAAGAACTAGCCCGCCCCCAGTCGCGACTGAGCAACCGGCTAAATGCTTCCATGTCACATGACCCAATTGCACCTGTCATCACTGAGGTCCACCTTCAGGCGATGGACAGACGACTTGAAACCGTCCTGCGGACAATAGACAAATGTATACGTAATCACGGGGAGAGCAATGTGCTTGTTGAACGACTGGAATAACCTGAGACATTATGACGTCACGCTTTATTTACATTTGAGGGAACATGTAGCTTTCAGCTCTCTCCCTACCTGGCTAGGTTTGATATAGTTGGATATGTTTTGTATTAAAGGTGGGGCGCATGCAATGTATTTTTTTAATGCAATCCTTGAAAATGCACCTTTTTGTGCCAATTAAACTTATTTTCAATTTTGGTTGTGCCTTTTTCAAGGGTATCTTAGTGCCTTTTTGGTTTTTATGCTAATGCAAATTTCCATATTCATGAGCAAACGTGTGATGTCCTTTTAGGCAAACCTCAATGTTAAAGCTCATTTCAGCACCAAAAGTTGCAAGAAATTAGGATATTTTGCTGTTGTTCCTCCTTGTGTCGATACATGGCAGTAAGACATTTTTTCTCACCATGTTTTCTGTATATGATGATTCGGGCACATTTATCAGAGTCACTTGCCACAGTTTTAAGTCTCAACGGTATCCTCGTTTCAAATTTGTTCATTACCAATTCGTCGATCGTACCACGATCTGACCCATCTCAGTTTTTGCCATTTCGAGAAAAACGCGTTTGAAGTTGGGCCTATTTTGCATCCACTCTTTCACCCAGAACACTAATTTTTGTTGACTCAGTTTTTATATATAATAAAGTTGGATAGTTGAATTATGATTTTAAATTGTTTTTAAGGCAAAAACTCATCATTACCAGGTAAATAGGCGCCAAATCCATAAGTCACTTCGTGAAAATTTCATTTTCATATTTCATGCGCGCGAACGGCGACCTATCTAGATAGGTCACTTCGTGAAAATTTAATTTTCATTTTTAATGCGCGCGAACGGCGACCTATCCAGATAGGTCACTTCGTGAAACGAACAATTTCGATTTCTCTGTGGCTGATAGTGACTTATGTCATCTGCGCATGCGCGCGCGCGGACCTCTTCACGTTAAGTCATATGGAGGTTCGTTGCAATCTGTTGTTTTTTATATTAATATTATTGTTATTAGAGATTAATAAGCTCTTACAAATTAAAACGCTGTTATAGTGAAGGAAATTAGAAAATGAATTCCAATATATACGGGGTGTATAGAAACTTGTTGAATACATTGTGTATACCTCCTAGTAATAATTCTTGAACGAATTCATTGTAAAGGTGTACTTTTATTCCATAATTTTTTTATTTTTATCTGTAAAAAAATCGAGAAATAAAATCCGTGGACAAAACAGGTATTTTGTTTAATCAAGACTCACAAGTTCAAGTTACACTGAAACAGAACGATAAACGTACATGTACACTCTCATAATCTTCAAATCTTTGTTTTCTATTTTTTTTATTCTTCAAAGTGTACTTTCTCATTATTTAAACCTATTATTCCCTAAAAACAGCAATTTTCAGCAGATACTTTGTACGCCTCCCCCTTAAAAAAAATGATATATCTCAATGACGTACATTAAAAAAAAATCGGCTGCATTTTAATTAACAATGCTCAAAACGTCAAAACTGAATATAAATAGGATGTTTAGTCGCGTTAATACAATGAAGATTTTGTTTTTTTGAGAGTCGACTATCAGAACAGGCCATATTTAAGGGCCACTCAAGGGATAGAAAAGTAAATCTAAGAAACAAATTAATTATGTAGAAAGACAAGTACTGCCTTGATGTTTGAACTGGGACTGACCATCATGACGCAGGTCTGATGTAAAGAGTTCAACAGAGAGGCAGTGCAAAGAGTTGTTCTCAGCAATCTTTCAAATTTAAAAATAAGGGCTTTACTTGAAACGTTCTTAGCAATGAATTTCCTTTATTTGTTCGTAATAACTGTTTTTAGTTTTAGATTTACTTCAAACTATAGGTGCATAAATTAAATAGTGCGAGAACTGACAATAAAAGAGGTATCTCTTAATATTTCAAGATAAGTCTGGCATTAGTGAAGGATGTAGATCAAAGGTGATAACAATGACGGCTAAAGAACAGCTCCTGGTTCAAAGATTGTGGAGTAACAAAACATCGAAAATCTGGAGAAATGCACACAAAAAAGAATAGAAATACATTCACTCAACATTTTAGCGGCAATCAGTAGTCGCCCTTTGTTTTAAGGCTGAGCATTTTCCCGTTACATTCCGAGGCAGACTGTGGCAGGTGGTTCATGCATTCAGTAATCAATACTTTTTTATTAAATCTAAATTTAGAATCTACATGAACATTTTATTTGGATTTTTTTCTTTTAATATAGTCGACATGGAAAATCAATATAAAACAATTACAGTTTGTTAAAGGGAATTATTAATAAATCATTCAGAATGTGTTTAATATCTGGTGTCACTATCCTTGCAGTCTGTGTCTTTTTTTAGATTTTCACATTTTTTGCAATATTAACTAAAACAAATCATAGCAACTGAATTTAACTTTTTAACTCTATAAGTCACTTCGTGGAAAACTGACAGCGTTGTTTACGCGTTTCACGAAGTGACCTATCTCGATGCGTCAGTTCGTGAAATGATAATTTAGCATTTTGTAGCGATAGGTCAACATTTTTAATTAGCTAAATCAGCTTAATTAGCTAATTTGGCCACTTATGAATTTGAAATTTTCAGAAATTCAGAGGTCAGATCGTGGTACGATCGACGAAATTATATTATGCAAGTGTCTCACCTGCTCTGTGCTGTTTACATTATACATGCAGTAAAGCATGCGGAAATCTTATTTAAACGTTTTGTGGTGCATTGTCTATTCCACGTGCACAGGCCATCAGAAAATAAGTTAAGGAGAATACACGAGAAAGTGTGGATTCGTAATTCTTAAATTACGAATCCACATTTGCGAGTGTATTCTTCGACTTAAAGGGAATATACAACATTTGCAAACATCGAAAAATAAAACTACCAAGTTTTTGCGAAATACCTTAATAGGATGTTGATAAATGACAGTCTAAAGCATCCTGTAAAATTATGGCACCTGGTATTCTGTCATTTTCAAGAAAAGTGGTATTTTTGTATCAATTTCCAACGCTGATCGGCCGATCAGCGTTGGAAACAACTGGCTTTTTTTCAAATACTGGCCCCAATTGACCATTGCACTTGTTTGCAATCGATTACAAACCTTTGAACGGGTACGAGCCAGCTAGACTGGTTCCATGACCTTACAATTCCCCAATGTATGTAAACTGCTCTGTTTCTTCTTATATGGAGTCAGGGAACCAGACTACAGGAAAATGATCGTTTTTCTTGGTTTTTATAGCATTTTCGAACCCAAAACCTCCAAAAAGTCAGTGTAACTATATTTGCTTTATATTTCCAACCCCCCAATTCCATCCATTTCTGAAAATTAGAGCAAAAGCAAATGATGTATATTCCCTTTAAACCATTGCGTCAAAAGAAGTATTGGAAAGAATGTTGCAACCTGACGCCACTTTTTTCTTCATATATCATCTCAATGAAGGTCATTCGTTGCAAAAATTATGATAATACATTAATCTGGGACTGCAAAATGTTTCCAATTTTGTTAGGAAATGCTTGAAATGACTCTCCATAGACTTTGTACACAAGCGCGAAAGTGGCGGCAGGTTGCAACATTTTTTTCCTGGCGTGTTTAGCATGTGTATCGCCACACCCGTACAACCAAGTCATTTTGTGTGTATTATGCTCCTTACGTGAAAAATGGATAGTACAGACAAGGGCGGATCCAGAAGACAATTTTTGGGGGGCCCAAAAATATTTTTGGTCCCCCCCCCCCAAAAAAAAAGTGGGTCAAAAAATTACGACGTGGGGTTCGGGGCCCGCCTAAGGGCCCCGAAATTTTTTGGATTCTAGATGCTCTGTGGTGCGATCTGAGGCAATTTCTGACCACTTTTACAAATGTTTTTTTGAGGAAAAGATGGTGGTGTACTCATTGCCTGCCTTTATTGCGACGTCACATAAAAAAAAAAAAAAATTGGTTTCGTGTTTTTTTTTGGGGGGGGGGGGGGGCATGGCCCCCTTTGGCCTCCCCCCCCCCTGGTTCCGCCCTTGAGTACAGACGACGATTTCTTTCTGACTAAAAGTAGATTTTGCAGTGACGGCGGAGAATCTGACAGTGAAGATGCATTGGTAATTTTCGGAAAACAAATTTTCACGCAGACGGTCCTATTCATGCTCATTTTGTCCGACGCGTTCAAAGTGTGGATTCGTAATTCCGAATCCACACTTTACTAAAAATTCGTCGTTCCGAATCCACACTTTGTGCCCAGTGTAAGAGATTCGTAGATCCGAATCCACACTTTTAACAATAGTGTGACGTCATAGCAATGGTTTAATCTCTTTTAGCACATCGTTTTAGAGAATTAAATTCTTTATCTGAGTTGTTTAATTTATAGGACTGTTTATTTTACATGAATATGACTATTTTAAGTGAATGGTAAACATAGTGCACCACTCGTACTGTGACCTAAATATAAACACGTAGGGTGTATAGATAAAACGAAATTCAGTCCATCGTACGCCCGCGAGTACCGGTTCACTGCAAACTGTGTTGAGCAATTAATCACAATCTTGCTATCACTCTGTAAACATGTTTAGAAGCTCAACATTACGTGTCCAACTTCTAAACATCAATGTTCAAATTCGGCTAAACCCTATCCATGAATACTCTTTAACATAGTACATGTTTACAAAGTGATAGCAAGTGTTTAGACTGGATGCTTAATTGCTAAACGCATGTACGTTGCACATCGGCCAGAATCACCTCAAAGTGTGCCAAAATTCAAAATAGTGAATGTAACATTTTTAACTTTAACTTGTTTGAGGAAGAAAACATCCTTAAGAATATTTTTCCAACCATATTTTAAAAAAGTGCGGAATCTGCTCTTAAAATGATAAAAGTGCATGGCAATTTTGAAAAACCGTGCTTTGATTTATATGAAGGAGAAAGCAGTCATTCTGTTACTGCGTGCAGTTCTTACCTATTAGTAGCCAAATTAGAAAATATAATTCAAAATGTTAACAAAATAATGTACATTTGGAAAAAATGATCAGTAAATTCGACCAAAAACACAAAAAAGTGAATTTAAAAAAAAAACATTTACCCTAAAAGGGCCGGGGGCGGAATCAGCCCCCCCCCCCACGACTTTTTCCGCGATAGCCTCTAAAAAAAAAATTTCGCGACCCAAGCTGTTATGACTTTTTAGCCTCAAGCCTTGCGCATTTGTTGATCCAAAAATATAAAAATAGGACAACGGGTTGCCGCGCAGCAAAAAAAATTCCGGCGCTAGGCGCCGTGAAAACTTAATTTTCCCATATACGTCGTGTACACAGAGCAGAATTACCAGTCGTACATATGAATAATTAATTAGCCATAATTCAAAAACCCTTTGACCTATAGTCATAGCATTTCTTACGTATGTTTATGATGATTTGCTCTATGCATGTACCGAGTTTCAAAATTTTTCGTCACTCGATGGCCGAGATGTTGGGGGGGGGGGGGGGGGGCTGAGAGACGGTCAAAATAACCCGGTCCTTTTAGGATTAAATTAGTGCGATACTTAGGATTCCCGCCGAATCCTGCCAAGGTATTAATTTCAACGT